TAGACACAAGTCAAGAAAACAAACAAACTAGTTGGAATTATAAGAACATTTAATTATTTAGATTACTAGTATAATTCTTCTGTCTACTATTTAAGGCGTTAGCCCGTCATCATCTTGAATATGATAGTAGTGAATGGAACCCGTACAAAAAGAAAGATATAGGGATAGTTGTAAACGTCCAACGTAGAGCAACAAACATGTTACCCAACCTCAAAGATTTGTCATACAAAGAACGATTGAAAACTCTGAAAATTCCTACATTGAAATTTCAAAGGCTAAGAGGCGACATGATAGAGACATATAAGATAACAACAGGAGTATATAACCCAAGAGTAAGAGAAGGAATATTTACACGTAAAACAAGGTCGACAACAAGAGGAAACTCGATGAAATTGGTTAAAATAGAAGGAGACTAGACATAAGGAAATACTTCTTTATGAACCGATAAGTGGAAGTGTGGAATAGCCTACCAGACATCGCATTGCCTGTAAAGTTCGAAAAGATTTTTGAACATCGTTCAGACAAACATTGGAAAGACCATCTACTAATATATGGCTTTAACACTTAATACACATACAACACCAGAAGAAGCTCAAGTATAATAAGTGAAGATAAAACAGAGCCAAATATAGAGGGGCAAATTGACCTCCTACGTTTGACAGCACTAATGTAGAAATAGGTAGAGGTAGGTAGAGGTATGTAGATACTTTAATTGTAAAACGTGTATCTCAAAGTCACAGTAACGCCTTCAACAGTAGCAACAATCCTCACATCGCTGCAAGTTCAAGATGGTCTCTAACAACAGTATCATTTGTTTAAGGAAATGTTTATTAGAGGTTCAGTGATATGCAAAATAAATAAAATCAGATAAATGTATCTTTGAGAAATGTTTACAGTGGGTTGATTTCTCCTCCCTAATATATGAAAAAGTAGATTAGACATTGATATGAGAAGAAAAATAAGTAAGATGCCCCTCTGTTTAGTTGAAGAATTGAATAGTTTCTTTTTACGAAAAACAAAATAACAACAAATATGATATATTTAAAAATAAGAAGATGTGGTATGATTGCCAATTAGAAAAATCTCCACCAGAGACAACATGACATAGAAGTTAAAATATATAAGTCACCGTACGGCAGAACCCATACCGCATAGTCAGCTATAAAAGGCCCCAAATGACACCTGTAAAACAATTTAAACGAGAAAACTATCGGTCTGATTTATGTACAAAACAATGAACGAAAGCCAGTATGATATACAGCAACTAACGACAATCAATGAATTACAGGCTTCTGACTTGGGACAGGCATCTTAAGAATGTGGGTGGGGTTAAACATGTTTGCAGGCGCCCAACCCTCCCTTAATTTGGAACAGTGGTGTAACAACACAACATAAGAACAACATATTTGCATATTTTAGTCAAAATTACTTTAGAAATTAATGCAATGACAGGCCTGGAATTCCTGTATCAAATGTAGTCTATTTCAATTACTTGGCGTGACTTGTAATCTTCTGTAATCATTTCATTTTTCCATCTTCTGTCATCCATCTCTAATGAAAGTGCTGTACCGTCTTTCGATTGTCCGCCCTTTGTCCTTTGTCCGTCGTCTTTCGTTCGTCCGTCTGTTGTCCGATTTAACTCTTTTTAATCCACTGGGCCGATTGATTCTCTTTGAAAGAAAATCAGTTGACATGAATACGTATAAAATGCAAAAAAACGCCAAGACAAAGACATTTAATTCTTCAAACTATACATTTTGTTTTCAAGGTTACAAAAATGATTAGTTTTAAAGGACATGATATAAGTATGAGTTTTTTTAAAAGGCAAAGAAAAGCAATTAGGCAATTGTCCATTCTTTGTCGTTTGTCCGTCGTCTGTCGTCCGTCCCTCCATTGTCTGTTTAAACTTTGACATAAATACGTTCAAAAATGCAATTAATGTAAAGACAAAGACATTAATTCTTAACACTACACATTTTATTTTTCAAAGTTACAAACATGATTTAGTTTAAAATTATAAGGATAACTGTTAAGGCAAGGAAAAGCAATTAAGCAATTCTATAATACAATATTAACTTCGGATCTACACCCTTAATACCATATAGTGAAACTTATTGTGTTGAATTAGACATTTACTTTTTTAAATGCATCAATTCTTGCATATATAAAATTTTTAGAAATAATATGGCGTCGGCAAAATCTGAACAAAGGACAATGATGTCTTGCAGACTCTTGATGGAAATCAAAACTTCAGGAAAGACATTAATTGTTCCACCTATTCTGCAATAGAAGACAATTTCTTCAGTTACTTGCTCTGTAGAGATGCTTAAGGCCAAAATGTTTAGAAACCAAAAATTACTACTTTACAAACCATAAAAAGCTGAAAAATAACCTGCATATTCGAATTTATGCAACTGGTATAGGAAATCCTCTTCATTAAACTCTCCAAGGCATTATTGAATTGCATGATCAATTATCACTATATTTCAAATAAATAAAAATGGATTTGAGGAAAAAAAAACTTTCTGTATAATCAACACTGCATGAGACATTTGAACTCCGAAGTGATCTTCATCCTTCAATTAGACTCCAAAACCTAATCCAATGCAAGTCAGCAAAGCATGCATCATTGATTTTAAAGCTGTATAAGTCAAAGTTATGAACACTCACTTTGCATGGTCAAAAATCATTCGAAATGTTTTTATCATGACTTGATTGTTTTACAAATAAATTATATTTCAGTCAAATTAAAATTACCAGTTTGAAGTTTTAAGCAATGCCAAATGAAACTAGTCCGTTAATAAGGAGATGGGGTATGCTTTCCAATGAAACAGCTATATCCTCTAGAGACCAAAGCTCAAAAATTTACACGACTATATATCATCGTACGGCCTTCAACAATGAGCTAAACCCATACCATATAACAATATAAAAGGCGGAAGCATGACAAAATGTGAAACAATTAAAGAGAAAAAAAACCTTGGCATTATTTATGCAAAAAACAGAAAATCAAAATTAAATCCAGAACAGTGTTATAACAGCTGAACATAGGAACTAACTGTAAAACATCAGTAGGAAAGGACATGACTAATCAAATCGGCACGTAGCTCCCAAAACAAAAACTCACAAAAAGACGAAAAACACTAATTGCCGATCTTTGAAAAATCGCAGTTACTACAATTTCGTTCCAAGCTGATGAAAACCAATATTTTAAATCAATCATGTTTCAATAAAGATAAATTCACACATATGTGTACGTGGCGAATGTTGAGCACATGCATGTACTACACAAATATTTACATGATAGGTGTTGTTCATGTAGAAGAACATTGTGGCAAATATTTAGTTGGTACTTGCATGTACTCTTTGTCAGATCCTAAAACTAATTGAAAAATGACCGAAATATATATACTTTTCACAAAACACATATACATTATACCAACATTTTCCAATACGTCATAATTGCATTTATTTGAACATCGTGTATCAAGAACTTCTAGTCCGAATTTCTCAATACCTCAATTTTAAAACAGACATAAATTTAAATTTTCAAATCTCAAGTCGAAATTAGTAAAAAAAAAATGAAGCCAAATAAGACCCATATCGCACCCTGTCCTCTGTAGCCAAAATATCGTTTTAGTTACGAAAGAAAACGTGTACTACGATATATTCCAGTTCTTGTTTATTTGTAATCATGCATGGTCCAACATAAAAAACATTTTCAGATTCCCAATAATATAATTATATTTTAACAAGGGTCGCAGCTCTCGCACAGGAAACTTTACCCAAGACGATGTTGGCCCTTATGTAATTGGCGTTCTTAAATATTTCATTTATTGAGACTAATGTACTTAATAAAGTTCATTCAAGAAATAGACTATTTTCATATAACCGACTTTTGTGTCCATATTATATAATTTTTCGACAGGTTACCTTTTCTGTGGTAGAACATCCTGGTACTCGGTCAAGTAAGAGTAACCAAAATAAGTAAAATCAAATACATAATCGGTGTTATTTTAGGGGAAAGTTTACTGTTTTCCGATGATTTTGTCGTGTAAAGAAAATATGCTGTAGTTAATTTTCCCCAAAAATTGTACCGATTGAAAGCTTGATTTTACTTCTTTACGTTGCTTTTACTTGACTTGGTACCAGGATGTCTAACCACAGAGTAGGTAACCTGTCGAAACAAAGTAAACTTCGGAATAAAAAAGACGGTAATATAGAAATAGTCTATTGAAATGCACACTGAAATCGGTTTTTATATAGAATCCTAAATTCCAAGGAGGATCTACAGCAAGGACTACAAAAGTACAAGTATTACACTGTTTTAAAATTTCTGGTCCAGTGTCGGTTTCAAGTCGGGAATATCGCCGTTATTTTTGCATCTTTAAAATATTTTGTCAATTAAAGAATATAGTATTGATTGCTCATCTTTTATAGATTCTGTTAGTTTTATCATTTTTTCAAATATCGACGTTTTATCTTGTCAGAATCTGTATATTGACCTTTTGTTTTATTTTTTAAAGACGCTGGTTTGCTGTCTTAACAATAAATGCTCCAACATTGCCATTCAATCAAAAGTATTAAAATACCAGATAAATGTTCATTGTAAAATTAAATTTAATAAAAAAAAAATGTTTCCTCTATATAAACAAAGGATAATGTGTTAAATAATACTCCCCTGAAGCAAACATTAAATATATCATACGTTTTTTTTTAAATTTTAATTTGGCACTATTTTGCAGTAGGGTTCAGTACCATCCATTTGTTATTTATGATGAAGGTCTTTTAAGACGGTGTCCATTTAGGTAAAAGGTACGATTTTGTTTCTAAATTTCTGCAGAAAAAGGAAGAGCCAGTATCATTCTGGTAGATTTTTGTGTGAATTTGAAAAAAAAATCCCCAAAAGGGAAAAAAAGACCTATTAAAATGTATAATTCAAATTTTAAAAATAGACACGCTAATTGTAACTTTGTCTCCATTTGAAATTAACATCACACCTGTTTCCTTGTTAATGGCTATGGCATTAGGAGTTTCAATTCTATTGTCGTGATTTAAAATTGTCTTGCATGATTTCCCATCGGGTGAAACTTTGACTATTTTCTGACTTTTCCTGCATGCTACATATATAAAACCGTTTTTATCCAATGCAATTCCTGCAGGCTCACTAATATCTTCGTGTGTAAGTGTCCAAAGCAATGTTCCACTGCTGTTGTAACAGTAAACCTTGTTCTGCATAAATTTGGTGCCATAAATAAATGAATTCGACCATGAAATATCATGCACGTAAATTCCTTCTAAAAGTTGTTTTGATTCATCGTGAAGCGTCATGACAATGACACCTTCGTTTGTATCCATAGCTACTACAAGAACGTGGCCATCACTTGCAACTCTGTAACAGGCCTTTGGAACATCAATCCTTCTGACGACCTTGCTCTTGTTTATATCAACAAGCGTTACCTGACATGCCTTGTATAAAATAACAGCCACTATATTCTCTTTAACAAAGCACATATTTTCTACTGAATCTTCAAATGTTATCACGTTTTTCATAAATATGCCATCATTCTTAAACATCACCAGACAGTTTGACTCTCTATCTAGAAGTATAAAGTTACCATCAGGTAGTATACAACAGCCAACTACACGTAATTTTCGCCCTTTTGGTATCTTCAGAGTGTTCAAGAACGATGGTTTTATGTTATCAATCTTTTGAATAGGAATTACCTGCTGTGCTTGATATTTTCTTCCCGCTTCGGCTTTGATATTACAAGGACGAATTTCGATTGATATTTCTCCAAGCGATTTGACGTCATTGAGAAATGACTCCAGGGCAGGTGAAAATGCGACATGCAAGTTGTTCTCATTGAAACTACCTTCGCGCATTAGATTTTCTAGGTAATTCCCTTCTTGCGATGTAATTTTCTCAATTTCTCTCAGACCTACATAAATTTGAAGTTCAGTTGCGTATTTCGTCATGTTTAAAAAATCGTCTTGTAATCTTCTAATCTGTTTTGCTCGTTTTTCAACGTCGTGTAAGATAGTATCCATTTGTGATTTTAGCGTGGAATGTTCAGTTTCTAGATCATCAAGAACTTTCTGTTCTAATCTGGTAAGATGTTCATTGACATACTTGCGCATTGACGTTATGTCCTCGATTATTTTTTATTTCTGCTGTGCATTTGTACTAATTCTACTCCTCAAGTATTTTATTTTCTCCTCGCAGTTAATTGTAAGATCCTTGAGATCTTTTTCAAGAAGCGGAACCGAGGCAGATGATTTAACTTGATTTAGAGTGTCGGACAATGGCAATATGGTTTGACAAGCCTGATGTTTATCAGTGATACAGTGAACACAACATACACATTCATGGATCGAACAATAGAGTTCAAACTTCTCGTGGTCTTTACATCGATTGCTCATCCCTTTCATAAAGGCCGGTAACTTATTGTAATTTCCGACCGATATAGTTTTGTGGTCTTTCAATGTTCTTGACTTCTCATGATGGGTCTCGCAATCAACACAAAGGAAGTCTTCGCATTCTGTACACCACGTGACTGCATTACGTGTTGCATCTTTTTCTTTACAAAGAGTACACCACTCCTTATTTTGAGATGTCATTTTACTAAATGATTTCTACAAATATAGAAATATTTGGAAGACTAATACATTTTCATGATCGTTTCATCTATAGTCTTATTAGGCTTTTGAAAACCACGTTCACAACAACTGCTGTTCAAAAAGTGTTGGAATGATATGCAGCCGCAAAGTATGGACAAAGGATTTTTTCAGGTAAATGAAATTTTTTTTTTTTTGTTTTTTTTGTTTGTTTGCGTTTTGAGGATTTTTTCTTTGCAATGGTACATTCGGTTTTTTTTTTTCGACTTATAGTTTTTGATTGTCTAGTTTGTATCTTGTATTTTTACAGCTATTTGAAATAAGTAAACACATTTAGTCTGATTGTTTTGTTTTATATGTTCAAAAAAAAATTGTCAAATACAAGCTGTGATTTTAAAAGAGTATGGAGCTATAGCTTAACAACAAAATAATTTAGAAGTTATGTCAAGCAAGTATTTTATCTGGCATCGAAGTGTATTTGTCTACCCGTGACGAACAGGATTGTTTTTTTTATTAAAAACTTATTTACTGTCTGTGACTACTAAATAAAGAATGTAATATAGGTTATCTATTCAACAGTGTTGTATCAAAGACTTTTAATTTAAAGATTATGTAAGATTGTTTGCTGTTTGATTATCTACCCTTTAGAAAATTACTTCTACCTTTTTGAGACTATAAGATTCACAGTTTGCTTTAATTATATTAGAAATTCACAAGTTAAAATGAAATATTAAAGAAAATTCATTAACTTTGTAGTAAAATAATAAACATCATACATGCAATAATCATCATTATTATAAAATTACAATCATTCCTAAAATATCTAAATACTCGTATGGTCTATTTTTGTCGGGCCTGCGACTTTTGTCGCAGAAAGGTCGACATAGGGATAGTGATCCGGCGGCGGCGGCGTCAGCTAACTTTTTAAAAGCTTTATATTTTAGAAGGTGGAAGGCCTGGATGCTTCATACTTTGGATATAGATGCCTTATGTTACGAAGTTTCAATCTGTCACATGTCCATTGTCCTTGACCTCATTTTTATGGTTCAGTGACTACTTGACATTTTTTGTAATGTTAATTTCTCTCTTATTATGAGTAGTAGGATAACTATATTTGGTGTTTGTGTACCTTGCAAGGTCCTCATGCCCGTCAGACACTTGACCTCGACCTCGTTTTATGGATCAGTGAACAAGGTTAAGTTTTGATGGCCAAGTCCATATCTCAGATACTAGAAGCAATAGGTCTAGCATATTCTGTGTATGGAAGGACTGTAAGGTGTACATGTCCAACTGGCAGGTGTCATCTGACCTTGACCTCATTTTCATGGTTCAGTGGTTATAGTTAAGTTTTTGTGTTTTGGTCTGTTTTTCTTATACTGTATGCAATAGGTCTACTATATTTTGTGTATGGAACGATTGTAAGGTGTACATGTCTAGCTGGCAGGTGTCTTATGACCTTGACCTCATTTTCATGGTTCAGTGGTCAAAGTTAAGTTTTTGAGTTTTGGTCTTTTTTTCTAATACTATATGCAATTGGGTATCTTTATTTGGTGTATGGAAATACTTTATGATGTACATGTCAGTCTTGCAGGTTTTATTTGACCTTGACATCATTTTCACGGTTCATTGCTCAGTGTTAAGTTTTTTATGTTTTGGTCTGTTTTTCTAATACTATAAGCAATAGGTCAACTATATGTGTTGTATGGAAGGATTGTAAGCTGTACATGTCTGCCTGGAATGGTTCATCTGACCTTGACCTCATTTTCATGGTTCATTGATCAATGTTTAGTTTTCTTGATTAAGTCTGTATTGTATCTTAGAAACTATAAACAATAGGTCAACTATATTTAGTGTATTGAAGGATTGTAAGGTGTACATGTATTTCTTGTTTGGTTTATATGACCTTGACCTCATTTTCTTGGATCATGTTAAGTGTATGTGATAGTTGTAGTAAAGCTTTATATTTAGGACTATCAACATAATATCAATGATTAGTAAAGGAGGCGAGAAATTTCAGCGTGTGCACTCTTGTTGTTATATATATTCCTAATTATAGATACGATTTGTGTGTACAATACGTTGTTTTTGGAATAACTTTTGTCAAATGTTTGAACATCTAAAATGTAAAAACGTTGGACAGCTTAAAAAACAAAAGAATTTAGATTAGGAAAGGGTATATCGACTTCATATTGCTTTTACGAATTCTTTCAAAAAGGTCTTCGTTTAGCCAATATACAACAATGCAGGAATTCCTTCTTTGACAAAACATATAAGAACAAAATAAAAACTTTTAATGTAGGATCAATGTTGGCTCAGACAGTTGTCATACTGAAACACTAAATCCAACATTGAACAAGATATGAAATCAAAAATAATTACCAATGAAAGGACACATTTGCTGAAGCATTAAATTGGTCAAATTGTTTTTTTTTTTGGAAAAACTTCCTATTTTAAGTGCTTTTATCTTTTACACATTCTTTATGTACATTAAAATTCTTTCCAAATGAAAACTAAATGTTGGTGATATCTAAGTTATAAATTCGTTAGCGCCATCATTACGGGAAAAAAGAAGTATATCATTTTCCCGGCTTTATGTTGACCTTTTGTGTACCCAAGGCAGGTGAAGCAAGTCAATTTAAGAGTGATGTTACTAGATGGAAGTGTATAATATATATTTATAGTTTATTTATGAATAACTGCAGTGTGTGAATTTACAATATAAATTTTGAAACACAGGGAAATATTTTATTGAGAATTATTCAAAAAGGCTTCAAAATTTTCAACAAGTTTGAATAAATGACGGTGGCCATGGAAACTATAAACAAGCTCCATTGATTATGCCAACAATTGACTTTAATGTTTATAACAGAATAATAGAGTACCAGGTTTTTATTATAAAAATGGATAAATTTAGAAAATGTTTGTATTGTTAATACTAGCTGCTACCTTAAACTTAATACAATATAGTTGTAGTAAAACTTAACAACAACATAATATTATAACAAAATGTGAGTAAATCTTACCGTTATAACGCAAATCTGTAGGTGTTTCAATAACGAAATTCGTAGTGGGAAGTTAAATGTCCAATATCTGTGTCATTTACCTTAATATAAACGATTTAAATAATAATTGAATTGCGCATATCTTTTAACATGATAAAAGGAACTTAACCCGACATTATTTCGTTTTAAACACACTGAGTTGCACGATTGGACATGCATTATATACGATGTATACATATATATATATATATAGATTGCCTAACAATGTAATTTTAACACACTATTTAGTATGTAAATATAAGAAAAAGTCAAATACAAGCTGTGATTTTAAAAGAGTATGGAGCTTTAGCTTAACAACAAAATAATTTAGAAGTTATGTAAAATAAGTATTTTATCTGGCATCGAAGTGTATTTGTCTACCCGTGACGAACAGGATTTTTTTTTTTTTATTAAAAACTTATTTACTGTCTGTGACTACTAAATAAAGTATGTAATATAGGTTATCTATTCAACAGTGTTGTATCAAAGACTTTTAAAATAAATATTATGTCAAATTGTTTGCTGTTTGATTATCTACCCTTTAGAAAATTACTTCTACCTTTTTGAGACTATAAGATTCACAGTTTGCTATAATTACGTTAGAAATTCACAAGTTAAAATGAAATATTAAAGAAAATTCATTAACTTAGTAGTAAAATAATAAACATCATACATGCAATAATCATCATTATTATAAAATTACAATCATTCCTAAAATATCTAAATACTCGTATGGTCTATTTTTGTCGGACCTGCGACTTCGTTTCACTGATCAGTGAACAAGGTTAAGTTTTGATGGTCAAGTCCATATCTCAGATACTAGAAGCAATAGGCCTAGCATATTCTGTGTATGGAAGGACTGTAAAGTGTACATGTCCAACTGGCAGGTGTCATCTGACCTTGACCTCATTTTCATGGTTCAGTGGTTATAGTTAAGTTTTTGTGTTTTGGTCTGTTTTTCTTATACTGTATGCAATAGGTCTACTATATTTGTTGTATGGAATGATTGTAAGGTGTACATGTCTAGCTGGCAGGTGTCTTCTGACCTTGACCTCATTTTCATGGTTCTGTGGTCAAAGTTAAGTTTTTGAGTTTTGGTCTTTTTTCTAATACTATATGCAATAGGTCATCTATATTTGGTGTATGGAAATATTTTATGATGTACTTGTCAGTCTTGCAGGTTTTATTTGACCTTGACCTCATTTTCACGGTTCATTGCTCAATATTAAGTTTTTTTGTGTTTTGGTCTGTTTTCTAATACTATAAGCAATAGGTCAACTATATTTGTTGTATGGAAGGATTGCAAGCTGTACATGTCTGCCTGGCATGGTTCATCTGACCTTGACCTCATTTTCATGGTTCATTGGTCAATGTTTAATTTTCTTGATTAAGTCTGTATTGTATCTAAGAAACTATAAACAATAGGTCAACTATATTTAGTGTATTGAATGATTGTAAGGTGTACATGTATTTCTTGTTTGGTTTATATGACCTTGACCTCATTTTCTTTGATCATGTTAAGTGTATGCGATAGTTGTAAAAAAGCTTTATATTTAGGACTATCAACATAATATCAATGATTAGTAAAGGAGGCGAGAAATTTCAGCGTGTGCACTCTTGTTGTTATATATATTCTTAATTATAGATACGATTTGTGTGTACAATACGTGTTTTTGGAATAACTTTTGTCAAATGTTTGAACATCTAAAATGTAAAAACGTTGGACAGCTTAAAAAACAAAAGAATTTAGATTAGGAAAGGGTATATCGACTTCATATTGCTTTTATGAATTCTTTCAAAAAGGTCTTCGTTTAGCCAAATTCAACAATGCAGGAATTCCTTCTTTGACAAAACATAAAAGAACAAAAGAAAAACTTTTAATGTAGGATCAATGTTGGCTCAGACAGTTGTCATACTGAAACACTAAATCCAACATTGAACAAGATATGAAATCAAAAATAATTACCAAATGAAAGGACACATTTGCTGAAGCATTAAATTGGTCAAATTGGGTTTTATTCGGAAAAAACTTCCTATTTTAAGTGCTTTTATCTTTAACACATTCTTTATGAACATTTAAATTCTTTCCAAATGAAAACTAAATGTTGGTGATATCTAAGTTATAAATTCGTTAGCGCCATCATTACGGGAAAAAAGAAGTATAACATTTTCCCGTCTTTATGTTGACCTTTTGTGTATCCAAGGCAGGTGAAGCAAGTCAACTTAAGAGTGATGTGATTAGATGTAAGTGTATAATATTTATTTATAATTTATTTATGAATAACTGCAGTATGTGAATTTACAATATAAATTTTGAAACACAGGGAAATATTTTATTGAGAATTATTCAAAAAGGCTTCAAAATTTTCAACAAGTTTGAATAAATGACGGTGGCCATGGAAACTATAAACAAGCTCCATTGATTATGCCAACAAATGACTTTAATTTAATTTTTATAACAGAATAATAGAGTACCAGGTTTTTATTATAATAATGGGTAAAGTTAGAAAATGGTTGTATTGTCGCCTTAATTATACTACGGTTTTCCATATAAGGGTGAACTCCGACCATGACTAAAGTTAATACTAGCTGCTACCTTAAACTTAATACAATATAGTTGTAGTAAAACTTAACAACAACATAATATTATAACAAAATGTGAGTAAATATTACCCTTATAACGCAAATCTGTAGGTGTTTCAATAACGAAATTCGTAGTGGGAAGTTAAATGTCCAATATCTGTGTCATTTACCTTAATATAAACGATTTAAATAATAATTGAATTGCGCATATCTTTTAACATGATAAAAGGAACTTAACCCGACATTATTTCGTTTTAAACACACTGAGTTGCACGATTGGACATGCATTATATACGTATATACATATATATATATATATATATATATATATAGTTTATCCTAACTGTAAAAACAGCGGGATGTCTAACAAGGACAATAAAACTCACAAGTCGAAGAAGTTAGTGATAATTTTATGTATCATTGTTCATTAAGAAACTTGGTAACGGATGAATGAACAGAAATATTCCAAACGGAATTGATCACGGTAAAATATAATGTATTTAAACATTTAAAATAACTAGAGTCGCCGAGGTTTCTTATTGATCCCAAGGTATTTATTTGCATTACCTGTTAAGTCCCTTAAACAGTTCACCTTTTCCTAAATTTAAAACCCTTTAAATCTTTACCCGCTGAAAATTCTGGTTGTTCAAAAAAAAGGAAACGGAACAAGTTAAATGTTTCTATATTTTATAGCTTGTACATATGATAAAAACTGGTTCAAAGACGGCCTAGTGGTGTCAGAACCCTATATTGTCATTGGAAATAAAAATTGGTTATAGCATATCAGAAACATTATATACATAGATATATACATGTCTTTGGCAATGAATAAAAATGAGCTGAATCTTATGTTCAAGTCTAAGCTGTTCATAGGTAAAAACGTCTTTTATAGACGAAACGCGCGTCTGGCGAACAAATTCATGCCAGCTGGTATCATTGATGATTTTTCACAAAATATTTAAGATTCAAAGTAAATGATTTTGACCACAATTTTTTTTTTTTTTTTTTTTTTTGAGAGAGAGAGAGAGAGAGAGAGAGAGAGAGAGAGAGAGAGAGAGATGAAAATATAGATTCCACAGCTGCATAAATTGTGTTACGATATTTCTCCACTTGAGACAGTTAAATTCTAATTTTAAAGCGCGAGGCTTGCCGAGCTTTTGAAATAACTAAAATGTAACTGTTGAGAGTGTGGAAATATCGTATAGTGGTGAAATCTGTTTCTCTAATGATTTTAAGACGATACCTAAATAACGTTTTCCTTCCTTTTCAAGAATGTACAGAAAGTTGTGTTCTTTATATGTGACGTCATATTTCATGGTCGCCTTTTTTTATGACGTTACAATAGGAAATTCAGAAGAAACCCAGAATATTTGACGTCATAATTGAATTTCGACCAATCATTTGCCGAAAACAAAGTTTTGTCTAGAGATGGGTAACATTTTTCTCAGATAGTTAAGAAATGTGAAAAAAGCATGAAAATTAGAGAAAATATGTTTATCCTCCTTGAAAAAATAACAAAAAAATGTATTTATCCTAAAGAAATTCAAAATGCTCGACTACACACACAGGGCGACAAACATTAAGGTTATGTTTTAATAAAAAAAAAATTGTAAGCTGTATATCGACGTATTTCTTCATCTTACAATATTTCGTTTAAACACTGAAATGACAGTATCCTTCGGGCCGTCATATGCTGGTATCTAATAAATGAGAATCAGAACGAAAAAGAAACTATCATATCGATTCGTAAGTAATCAGATACAGTAACAGAACATGATCCTTAAGGTGTTCTTTAACCGATTGGATATATTACAACAGAAAACGATCCTTAAGGTGTTCTTTAACCGACTGGATATATTACAACAGAACATAATCCTTATAGTGTTCTTTAACCGACTGGATATATTAAAACAGAATATACACACAAAGCATCATATGAAAAAGATATGATATATAAGCACAATCAGAAATCCAAACACTAATTCATCATCAAGAAGAAATGAGATTAATATATAAAAGCATTAACTTATAAGCAGCCATAGATTGTTATAACTTAAAAAAAAATATTGTTTTGGAAACCAGCATACTGTAAATACTAGTACCACATATTCAGTGTTGAATGATAACCATTATAGCATTAGTTTACAGGACATGGGTACCAAAAAGCTCGTTAGTTAGATATTTTGTATTGAAAAGACTCACAAGGGTATACAGGAAAATATAAGGGTCCATACGAAAGCTTTTATTTTTGTTTCACGGATGTATTCCTGATAGTCACTACTTGACTGATAAAACATGACCCATGTTCATAACTTTATGAACAGACATTTTAGTCTTATTCACCAACTAAGGTAATCAGGAACAATCATAATTGGTTGGACATTCAAGGAATATAGCACATCAGAAATGACCTGTCCAAATATGGCAAGATAAACCTAAAACCTTATTCTTAAAATACATTACGTTTAGATATTGAATTAATTACATCAAGTATCACCAACACCCAAGACATTTAAAAGATTGGTGTAGGCAAATAAGGCAACAGCATTTTATCGATGTCCAAAATCTTATAAATCGATTACAACGAAACATTACATATTCAACACTGTGCATAGAATATGAAATCATTTGAGACCTTGATCTCAGTAATTACTTTCAAACATTATACATGGTTTAACAAATTCAATATTCTCTATGACGATGTTAAAGTAAAAAGAGGGTAAATAAATGATATAGTTATTGCGTATTAGGACCTTTGTTTTAATAAAAAAAATAAAGTTCGCATCCTGGACCCTAAAGCTCTAATTTCTTGTCTGATTTATAACGTATAAACAATAAAGCTGTGGGGTGTATCCAAATGTGAAGTAACACAAAAACAAATCACAAGACATTATGATGTCAAAAATAGGCAGACAGCTATACAATTCGTGAAGCTTGAAGTCACCAAGTCTTAAAAAATAAAGTTTCAAAAATAATAAGAGAGACTATTAAAGATCTGACATCAACACCAAATTCTCCAATCAAGACATGACAAATAAACTATTGACAAAGAGATACGTTTCGCCTTTATGCAATTTTGTTAACATAATATAAATGTTGAAATTAATATGGTAATACTTTATTATGTTAACTATGAAAAATATAAAGTCAGTGAAGCATAACTGAAGGTGCAGGGTCAAATAACCTCAGTGGAAACGAAACATGCCAATGCGAATACAACTTGAACCAAAAACCATTCATCAATCATAAGTGATTTCCTTTTAACTGGCATAAACACAAACTTTAACATGTAAACTTTGCAGAAGTTTCAAAGTCAATAAACCATGATATGGGAGCAGGGTCATAAATTCTTCATGGAAATAAGACGCACAAATACTAATACATCTGGATACGAAATATAATTGACCTACCATTAGTGGTACCACTTACACCGACAGTATCGGGTCCGTTCGCTCCCAATACACGTTCGCCTCCTGGGTTCGTTCGCACCCAATTTATATTCAAATACTGGTTGAATTATAAGATGTTTTTTTTAGATGTATTTATCATAATATTTAAATTTTCTTTAATGAAAACTAGGGAGTTTTTAAATGAACCTAATCTAAAACATTAACATGTAAACTAATTATGAAAAGTTTTCTAATGGACCTAGATGAGCGCATGAGGCAAAATAATCTTCAAGGAAATGAGATTCGCAAATACTAAAACTGCATATAAAAAAAAATTGACCTACCGCTAGTGGTTCCACTTTAATTGGCCTTATCACAAACTAATAATTGTTGACATTGCCGACAGAGCCAAAACTTTACACATCTTAATCTCACGTTTTCGACTGTCAAGGCTAGACCAAAACCACTTATAAGGATTTTAACTTTGCACAGGCATAGAAACATATGGCAGGTTTATTTAAAGAAGTATTTTGAGATCTAAACCGTATATACAAAGGTAAATAAACTCATTATAGATAACAGGATTAAAAATTTATATGCCAGACGAGCATTTCATCTACAAAAGACTCATCAGTGACACTTGAATCAAAAACGTTAGGAAGAACAAATAAAGTATGAAGGTGAAGAGCATCATGAGCATTAAAAGTAAAAGAGGAAAAATACAGAACTCCAAGAAATACTTAAATTGGAAAGTCCTTTATCGAATGGCAAAATCAAAAGGTCAAACACATCAAATGTATGATTACGATAACAAACATGACAGGTACTAACAAAACAATACTGCACAAAAGCTATCATCCGATGTTTAGAAATAATACAAAATACTTTTAATAATCATCAAAAGATACAAAATTTATATTTCAGAAACTTGGGAGCATTTTTACCCAATGCCAAGTATAGGACTGTGACATTAATACAACCTGTGAGTCGTCATAAAAAGTCACCTATCAATTGGTTATACATGACTTTGTTGTATGATCTTTGAGGTACAAGTTTACCTATATTATTACCGAGGTGATGAACTATTAAACAAAGTATAACAAACTGGAAATAATTTATGTGGGATGGACCATTGATTCCTAGTCTGGGTTTAGCTATACCTTTGGTCCTGTTAAATCTTATCAGCTCTCTGACGTTTATATTAGGTTTTGGATTATAAAAAGTTGCAGCTTTGAGCAACTCTAAAGAGACATTAATTGTCGAGGTATGGATCTGGTGCAGTAAAATTGTTACCATTAATGTTATTGCACCTGTTTGTTTACAAGTGGATAGTATTATTTTTTATGAGTCTTTTGTAGACAAAACACACGTCTGGCGTACAAACTTTTACTCCTGGTATCTATGATGAGTTTATTTCAACTAGTAATTTTAAATACTTTAAGTAAATATAACAATCTGAATTGTGTGTGTGTGTGTAAAACCATTTTAATTTCTGCTTATCGAAAGAGACATTGATTGTCGAAATGTGGATCTAGTGCAGTAAAATTGGTACCATTAATGTTATTGCATCTGCTTCCTGGCAAGTAATTATTTTTCAACTAATAACTTTAAATACTCGTAAATATGACAATCAGAATTGCGTGTGTGATCATTTTAATTTGTGCTTATCATTAACTATAATAAATAGAAAATATAACAGATAAAATATCATTACACAATAAATAATACTGTAAAATGCACAGATCATATACACAAGGAATCTCCTCAATAACCAAGATATCTACTGATTCACAACAATAAAACATGTACTTATTAAAGAATGTAATTTTTCACAATTATACATTTTCTAAGAATAACTTAAAAAATCTTTGTTGTTGAATACACTTTTTGAAATAAATAAGTGTAACTGATATACCGAAGAGGAATAAAATGTTACTCATTATTTCCAGTCCTTTCTTTTCAATTAGAACGTATTGAGTAGAATTATACTATAAACCAACTTATTTTCACAGATATTTTATTTCTTCTTTTGTACTTTCTTTTAGACTACATGACATCATTTTTGCAATTTCCACATTTTCCTGAAATATCTATATTAGGAAATACTGATAATAGCAACGACTTATATTCGTCTTATTTTAGCACAAGGGGAGCTGTGAAAATTATTTGGTTTACAGTAATTTATAAAACATCCAGAGGACATGTGTGAATGCATGGTTGATATTTGTACTCAAATTACATTATTTTATCGATGTGTTCTGGTAAAGTTTATTATCAAAAGCACTTTGAACCACCAAGGTTATTAACCCGTCTCACTTTGAATCACTACACTATGAGGAAAACCATTGCTGAAAGACTACCCAAGGGTATCCTCCACCTGTAAGTAAATACTTTACCATTTGTTATAATTCACAACATTTTGATATATTTCTAATGTGAAATAAATCACTGTATTCATAAAATTTTACTTTTCAGCTCCCTCAGGTAATGTTTCAATGTATCAATTAATCAGGCACTGAGCCTATCTAATGAGGATTAAAAGTCAAGGGTGTGTTTTTTTATTAGAAAACTTCTTAGAGACATTTGCAGCTAAACATATTGTAAAGACACTTGCCTTCAATCGACGACTGTATGTTAACCACTAGATGTCTTTGGGTTGTGTCATTGAAATCCTGTTTCATTGATTTACAACCCACATCTCTTTTTACTTAGATTCCAATTCAGCACGTTCATTCTAATATCCTACCAGAGCTTTGTGAAATAGGACTGTGGCCATTTAGACTAAAATGTGCAATAGGACCTTGGCCTTTCAGACTTAAATGTGAAATGGGACCATGGCTATTTAGACTGAAATGTGAAATGGGAAAATGGCCATTTAGACTAAAATGTAAAATAGGACCTTGGCCATTTAGACTAAAATGTGAAATGGGACCATGGCCATTTAGACTTAAATGTGAAATGGGACAATGGCCATTTAGACATAAATGTGAAATGGGACCTTGGGCATTTATACTAACATACTGAAAAATAAGTGTGATATCCTGTACTCTGGCATGCTGGTAATTTTTATCATACAATTATAACATTTGAAAAATAAGACTTCAGTAAAATGATATGTTGTTACATTAACATGATTTCTTTGAATATTCAATAAAGGGTAAAGGGAATCTTATAAATGAGACAACACAAATTCACATTATAGAAATATATACATTTTAAATTATCTCTTGGATAATGTGCTGATGTTATTTCTTAATTTACATATAGTTCCTTATTTTTCTTATGTATCATGGTTTAAAGAAACAACAACATTAAGACCATAACTGAACATTAAAAATGTACCAACAACATTTAAAGTGAAAAGATACAATTGTTTGACATAAAGTGACTTTGGCATCTCTTACTAATGGTTATTGTTTTAGTTAATGATTTAAACAGTATTATGACACATATATTGATACAATACAATATAAAACCTCTGATTTCTACAACAAAAATCATATATTACACTTTCTAATTTCAAGTACAAGTCCATCCTATATCATGGGTGAAATCGTACATTACATTCCTAGACAGACACAAATCATAACAGTTTTCATTCACCTTTATAGGTTAACCAAGGAGATACCCTTCTAATAATAAACCATGTATATTTAACCTTGTTTCATGGATTTGAAAAAAAAAAAAAACTAAAAGGCTAATGAAAAAAGGTTTAAGTACCGAATAAGCTTAAGCCATCTACTTTTACATCTATGTAGAATAAACTGAGAAACAAAATATTGATTCAAAAACAACATTTCTCTGTGATGCTCAACAAATTAAGATTTGACATTTGCCCATGTCAATAAACTAATATGACCCTAACTTGCTGTTTATGTAAATCCCTCATTAACAAAATTTCATCTCAGCTTTTTATTGGTTGAAAATCAGAAGCAAATCCTTCAAAAATAGAATTTCTGAAATTCATTAGGGATATTCCATTTAAATGTATGTGGGAGGGTAGGAAGGGAAGTTTAATTATTGAATGTGGGTCATGGGTCTTTTTTCAGTATGCGTCTATTACCATTAGGCAAAATTATCTAAAAAATGGTTCTTGGTTGTAGGGATATTTTGAAAGTCCCTTCCTTCCCTCCCACATACATTTTAATGGAATAGCCCTTATTGGAAATGAATAACCTTTGCCCTTTTAAAATCCGTGTTGAGTCTAGAATTCTTCTTTGACATCTTCATGGTATAAACTTAAAGCTTGGTCCCTGTATACTTAAATTAAATCATAACAGTAATTTAAATTAATGCTATATGGTATGATTTATCTGTTAAAAAATAAACAGTTTTATTTTAGAATTGAATGCTTCTTTTTGTAAATTTATAGGGGTGTAAAAGCGTTGATCGAAGTACATTCTTCATTCTAAAAATGTGTGCACAGTCAACGCTTTTACAACCCTATAAAATTACTAAAAGAAGCATTCAATACTTATAATTACATTTTTTTGCTAGGATCATGAAAACATGATTTCTATCAAGTTTTTCTTTTATTTACCTGTGCACTTTATTTTGGAAGCTCGTGTCATCATAAATGTTACATTTCATTTTGAAATGAAGGTTAACTACAGAATGACACGAGATTACTGTTAGCCAATCAAAATAACATATTACAATGAAACATACATGTAATTTAATTGTTAATATATCATCTTCAAAATATAAAATATGTTAGTTAGGTGTTCCGCTCACTGACACATGGATTTTAAGCTGCGGAAAGGTTAATCAAAATGCTAATTTTCCCGAAAATGTTAGAAATATTTTCCACTGAACATTAAGTACACAATAATTAATCAGTCATTGATGAAAACATTCTGGTCAAAAGGTAACAATTGTATGCGACTGTTTGGTTGACTCTAATTGAAATATGAATAAATGAAGAAAATTATAATCAATGTAAAAAAAGACTAAAGGGGCAGTACAAGTTCAAAGATAAAAAAAATCCTAATGTATTTATAGATTTTAGTGAACAGATCAATATTGCTACTAAAAATTCCAAAATCTGAGATATGAAATCTACAATATCAGTAAATCGATTACAAAAAATATACTACTGGCAATGAGCACATAATGAACAAATGTAATAAATAAATCATAACTGACTGATCAGCAAACTTCAACATAGAGATATTTAAAGTTAACAACATAAATATCTGTCCAAACTATTCTCACATACAGACAACATACAAGTATAAATAACTTTAAAAATGAAAATACTGAGTAAAATATATAAAATATCATTCTAAAAAAAAACAATACAAAACAATATCAGAATACTATTGATGCAATAAACTTAAATGTCTAACTAATTACGTTCGTAACAATTATCATGGTGTGTCAAAAATTGATTCATGATTAGTTTGGCAGTTGCTATTAAAAATTTATCAGGTTCTTATTTGGCAAACATAAAAATTACTGGTTTATTTACAAGTTCAACAAAACTTCTGTCAAACAAATTATTTGTGGCATCATTTCTTCTAAAACGAAAACAAATATTTGACTAGCTTTTGGCAGCACATAGCGACAACAAATAATAAGTGGAAATTGTGACAAAATAACACTATCACAATGTAATCATTCACTAGGTTTTGTATTTATACTATTCTATCATAGACTAAAGTATATGTCTATGGTTACAAATGTACCACTGAATCCATTATGGTTATCAGTTCAATGTGTAAATAATTTAGAGGGAAAATTATCTTGTGATAGAACAAAATTATGGATAATCATTTTCCCTTTCTTTTAAAACTCTTTTGAAAGTTGTCATAGTATTTATCACAAGGCATCAAAAGCCCTTTTTCAGAACATTGAGCAAAATATGGGACTAAGTATTTCATCATGTTATAAAATATTATTTCTAAAGTTTTCCTAATCATCAATCCAAGGGAAATTGTATCATAATTAATATCAAAGGGCAAAATTCACAGCAAGCTGTCATACATGTGTCCAATCATATGAGCCAATTTTTTAAATTTGCAAAGATTGTGAGTGGATTCTGAGAGAGTAAAAAGTTTAATATTCATTAACAATTAATATATAACTTTTTTGTACTACAAACTTTAATGAAACTTTTGAAGAACAAAAAATCAATTCTTTTCACATTAAAGGAACAAATGCTAAAATCTCACAAAAATAATCTCATAAGTTAATATACAATATGTATACATTTGACAAAAATAATCCCAGGTAATCTTTGCTACTCATCATGGCATCAATAGTCATTACTTATGCTAGAATTATTACAAACTCTAATGGAAATTAGTGCCTACATTCTACCTAGGATATCTCTTAACAATTAGTTTATAAGTAACAATGTATAACCAACAGTTAAGGGCTGTTCCTAAATTGAACGTAGTGTGGGGCTTGGAAGACGATCAACTTAGTTAATTGTTGGTGGTTGTATTTTCCTTCGAATGGGTTGGTGTCCTAAAAAAGTGTCTCCCATGCCCCTACTGCGTTTAATTCTGGAACAGCCCTTTATACAACAACATGATGTTACATCACATAGTTCTACTGAATTATGTAAACTTTCCATGGCAGTTAAAAAAGACCGAAGGATAGAGTTGTTTGATGACTACCAGATCCTTATATCTTTTAAATCCAAAACAGATAAAAGATGGCTGACAATTCTATGATAGTTATCTATTCATTTAAGAATTTCAGATTACTTCTATAAAATGGTTTCCATAAACGTTAATATGAACACTAAGTCTGAGTAATCTTAGGCAGTGAGTTCTTCAATAAGTACTTACAATGAACACATTGCAAAATTACCCAAGAGAGAAAAATTCCTCCGTAACTATAACCAATGTATAATTTAATGACCAGTAGTAAGCTGAATCTCTCTTTTCCGTAAATTATACTTCACATCTTTATCTTTTGTTTTAGATACTAAATTCTGGCCATTTACATTGCCAATTGTTCGTTTGGGAGAATTTGGATACGATCCGTTTTTGGCTTCTGAATCTAGCTCTGCCTGTGTCAGATAAACACCTTCATGGAGAGTCTATAAAAGAAAAAGTCTAAATATTATGGCAGCTGGAGCTTTCATAATGCAACACATCATTGGCATGTCAACATATATTTGTTCCACCTAACAGATGTTGGAAACTTTGTTATAAACAATGTCATAATATCTGTTCCTGTTGGGACAAATATTCTATACCATTTACTCCTTTTGGAACATATAATGTAATATTTATTCCAGTGGAAATAATATTCCAGAATATTTTTTATCCATTTGGAACTTATATTATGAAGGAACTTCTATTTCATTACAGGCAAACCTTCAAGAGAACCTGATTTCATCCCGCATACGGTGGATTCATTATTTGGTGGATACCAATATTCTTTGACCTCTTGGTTAAAGGTGAACCATGCTTATCAGAGAATATACAAATATCGATTTTAAACTCTTTGGTTTGACACAGCCAGGAATCCCTTAACAATAGATATCAAACCCATGAAGTGCCATTATTTTCAATTTGATATACACACTACACACAATGAAATAACACATACACACTACACGCAATGAAATAACACATACACACTACACACAATGAAATAACACATACACACTACACACAATGAAATAACACATACACACTACACACAATGAAATAACACATACACACTACACACAATGAAATAACATATACACACTACACACAATGAAATAACACAAAGGCCTTTAGATCCTGAAATGGCAAACTGAAGACTTCAAATAACATTCTGGAAGCAGAGCAGCATTAAAAGTGTAAATCCATGACTGGTTTATTGTCATGGTTGCATGAATTGTTATTTTGTGTATTGCTCATATATCCCCCTTTTTTTTTAACTATATCTCAAACTTCCAATACTATCCAACCTACCTTCCATCTCCATGTTTTAGCATACAATGCACACAAATAAACACACAAACCACTACCAATAATCTGAAAAAAGGTGCAATAATTAGATGGCTAAAAATTGAAGTTTCCTTGTAAGGAAATATGCTTTTTTAATTTTTTTTTTAGGAAATCTAATTGTAATGGTCAAATAGGCATAACCTTCTCAGAAGTTTTCTTTGAATATAGTCTAACAGGAACTCTGTGTGGCGATGTTGTTGTAACATATATATGAAGGGTCACCAATCATTTGATTTAAAACCACAGATCCAACTTTTAACTCTTATTTTTAGCAGCAAAACGCAGGTTACTAATGTGGCATTTTTACATGATATTTTATAAGTACAAACACCATAACAAATGAATCTAGCAAGTAAATGATAGAATATCTTTTTAAAGGGATTATATATGTTGAAACAAGTCAGTCAGTCACTTCAGGTAATCAATACAACTGGTAAAATGAGATACATATAGATTCTACCCTTGCATCTAGTGTAATACAATGTATAATATTTCCCCATTGAAGACATTAAATATTAACAAGATGCTGTCAGATTGACAGCAAACAGGATTTTCCTGCATGCAAATGATGTTAAATCTTGACCCCAAACAGGATCAATTACAAAACAAGAAAATGTCCACGGATGGCCCACTCATACAAGTGAGAGGTTTAGCTAGCTATAAAACCAGGTTCAATCCACCATTTTCTACATAAGAAAATGCCTGTACCAAGTCAGGAATATGACAGTTGTTATCCATTCGTTTGATGTGTTTGAACTTTTGATTTTGCCATTTGATTGGGGACTTTCCTTTTTGAATTTTCCTCTGAGTTCAGTATTTTTGTGATTTTATTTTCCACTTGCACTATCATTTTCTACTTTCAGTGTACCGTGAAATTGGGGACACTCTAGTTTGGCATTAAAATTAGAAAGAGCAGATCATAGGGAACATGTGTACTAAGTTTCAAGTTGATTGGACTTCAACTTCATCAAAAAACTTTAACCTGAAGTGGGACAGACGGACAGACAAAAGACGGATGAAAGGACGACAAATGGATGGACCAACAAACGGATGCACAGAGCGAAAAACATAATGTCCTTAGGCGGGCCATAAAAAGAAATGAGTTTTTGTAGGGTTCTGAAATGGAAAGGCCAAAATCAATCTAAGTATCACTTTTTGCTACTTCAAGGTCTACAACTCAACAATGATAAAAGCTAAAATCTTGAAAATCAAAACTGACCCTAATTTAGTCACAGGAAACAACATATTTTAATTTGAAAAGATTTCGTCATAGCATTTTCAAGTTATTGCACAGACACTGTTTGGCAGCTGCCCGCTGGCATACATTACCAAATTAATAACCGATATTTTCCTGTGGAAATCCAGTTAAAAATCAAAAAGTGAGGCTTGCTGAGTCTTTCAAATCCGAATTTAACAGATTGGAGGGAAAAAATAATGTATCACTTGAGATATGGTGGTGGAATCTGATTCTCTAATGATGGTAGACATAGTAGGAAAACTTGTACATTTTTTTTTAAATGGTCTGTTTTCCTTTCTGTGAGACATCATTCAGAATGTTCTCTTTAGTCATGTCATTACAATAGCAAAATCAGAGGAAGACAAGAAAATTGACATCATAATTACAAAATTGACCAATGTAGAAATGACAAGCATTGTGTGAGTATTGCATGGCAATACATAGTCCACTCCCGGTTAGAAATTCATTGTAATGGAACGAAATTCTAACTTGATCTATAACTTGTCATGGTGTAAACTACATGAACATATCAAGTCAAAATCCTCAAGCATGACGAAACAAACTGTTGAAAACTGATTATTTAAGTGAATTTTCTATGTCCAAAGACCATAACTCTGCACAAAATCATCAGACTGGAACCAAATTCCAACTTGATCTGTAACTTGTCATGATAAAACTATATACTAATTATCAAATCAATATCTTCATGAATGACCAACAAACCTACCACTAAATTCTTCAAACAATTTACCAAAGAAAAGGAAAATAATCCAAAAAATCTTTTAAAATATGAGTTATTTCCCTTTGAACAGAAATCTACAAATTAATAAGTATTTCATCAAAAATGTAATTCTAGGGAAAAGGCTTTAACTAAACAAAGAGAAAAGCTAAAATAGTGAAAATTGAACTTGACCTGTAACTTGTCATGATAAAACAATAAACTAAATATCAAATCAATATCTTCAAGCACGAAGAAAAAAAGTCTGGAAAACTGATTTGCCGGACTGACAGATGGACAAGACAGACAAACAGATGGACAGAGTGCAAACCTAAAGTCCCCTTCGACTTCGTCGGTAGGGGACTAAAAACAACCAAATGTTAAATTAATCAAACTTTTGATGAAAGTAGACCATGCCGACACTACCAGTAGCATACATACCTGTATTGTTAACCACAGTAATAAATATATAACTGATGTCTGTTTAAACAACTCTAATCCAAGCTTACAACATAATATTGCTTCTGTCAATGTTATTGCACTGAAACAAAAAAGTATGTACATATATACCAAGAAAACTCCAAAGATTTTTTTAATCGTGTTACAGTAAATGCATTGATTGTATTCTGTGTATATATTGCATATAGAATTTATATATTTCCTACATGTATCTATAAAAAATGTTATATATAGTATGTATTTATTAGATATCAATACAATTGAATAAAGTTTTTTGGAGTTTGTTTTTTTACAGTATGTTTTTAGCTATATCTTTTAAAGTATCTTCTATTTCTCCTCTAATGACATAACAGAGGCTTGAGATTTATGACCTCACCACATGTTTGAGCATCTGTGCTCAGCTAAGTCAGGAATCTTGTCCAACAGTTGTTAAATTTTTGCACTATTCATATTTTTGTCTACTTAGTAATGGTGCCAGACATTTGGTCATCTCTGTTAAATTAAGTCATAACTGGTATCTATTTAAACAATTTAGAACTGGTCTATTTAGGTTAATTGTGTAGTTGTGTGTGTCCAAAAATTTGTGTTTACACCTTGAAACTATAGTTTTTAGACGCAATAATTCAGTTTCATAAATATCTTGGGACAATTTAGATTAAAAATGAATAAAAATTTATTTAAAATTTTCACACTTGTGAAATATATTTTATCAAATTTATTTCAAATTTTCCAATCACACCTGTGCAGAATAGAGGGTTAATCCATGAATATCTGGCAAGACTACTGATAGGTTCTTTAATACAATGTTAACTACAACTGTGATTGAAGTTTTGGAGCAGTTGTGCATATGAAACACTTTTACCACATATTCCAATATTGAAGTTTGATTATCTCCCCCTTTAACATGTAGACCTAGTATTAAATTCCTGTATGCACATCCAAAGGTATATAACTGTGTAAACATACGGATAGACAGACGAATGTACAGACAGACATATAGAGGTTAAACTTAATGACCCCTTTGCTGCGACAGGGCCATAAAAAAGTGTGCAAGGTTGAGAAAGAGGGGTTATAGAGAAACACTTTTTGTGCAAAACATTACTCAATACACTAAAAGATTTGTTAAAAACCAATATTTTTAACTGAGTCCAAGGCCACATACTTTAGGTTTTTACTAGTACTATTGAAAGAATACACTCTTTAAAATCCACAACTGAAATTGATATAAAATGGTCTTACCAAAACATCCAACACTGAACACCAACTCTCCTACATTGCACATCTGTCACATAAACATACCATTGTCTGTAATATACATCATATATTTCAAAATACAAACTTAATGGTTGGTCAGTAGTCTCAGTAATCAGCAGGGAAAATTTAAAGATATTTTTAAATCAATTGCCTTCTGACATTCCTTCAACCAGGAAATATGTTTGATTACTTTTTTAATAAATAACAGATACTGTATACAATTCTAGTATAATTTGGTTTCATTCTCCTTTCAGAACATGTTAAAATATGAGATATGTTAACATTCTTACAGCTCTGTCCTCAATAAACAGTTGTGGTGTGATCGACAACTAGAAAAAATTCCACTCCAACAGGTCCATACGGTTATCTTAAATTTGCATTGAATGAGAGTTTTTGCTCCATGTTGAAGGCACACTGTGACTTTTAGATGAAGAACAACAATAAAAGTGCTGTTCCTTTTTTTCAAGTATGTGTTGTGATTTTGTGTCATGAATTGATACATTACATTCTTTCTTTTCCATTAAATTTCCACAAAATATTAATGATTACCTTATGGTTGGTGCAGATATAAGACTGATAAGAAAAAGCCTCCATAAGTTTAGAGGATGAGATTCTTGTATTTCTAGTATATGTTTCAGGAAAAACGTATTCAATTCTACTACCTGAAAAAAACCCAAGTGTACCTCATTATAAATAGTATTGAAAAAATACATGCATGCCTCATACAATATTGAAAATTGCCTATATGCAATTGTCAGAGAAGAAAGCTTTGGGGTTTGGAAAGACCTCAAATACATCTGCTTTTCTTACAAAAAAATCTTACTTAAAAAAATATTGCATGGTATACTGAAATGTTTTCATGACTGACATGTGTACAAGTAGTTTTTCTCATAAGATTTTACTAGGATACAGTCACAGAATATGACCAAGAGTGTGCAAAACAATGGAATTCTCACAAAATGGATATTTTCAACTTCTCCTTCCTTAAAATCAATTTTACATGAACTTAAGCAAGGTAAGTATGTGTTGTATGGAAGACTGGAGCTCTAAGCAGACCACATGCTTAAATCTTCTAATGGTGTGATCTTGAACGTTGTCCTCTGAATTTCAACAAGATTCAAGCTGTCCTGTTGACTACAAACATTGGTTCATACTTAATGAGGATTGATGAAAGATTGAGGCTCTGCGGTACCTACAAGCTGTATCCTACTATATTAAATCATGACATTATCCTATGACCCCTGACCTTGAAATCAAGAGAATTCCATGTAATGCTCATTGCCAAGCAGTGAATAAAATTAAATGAAGATAATGAATATTGGATGCAAGACTAGATGACTGCAAGCCTTTACAGAAACATGGATATTCCTTCCAAAACTAGAAATAATAGGTTGAGACACTCCTTGTCAAATTAAAAAAAAAAATCTTCTTTCTAGCAATTATCTTTTAAAGAATATCTGAGAAATAATTATAAATTCTCTTTATTCTTTTTTTTTAGCAAAGACTAAAAAACCAAACGTTTAGAGCTCATAATTTTAATGAAACAAGTACTTAACAAACATACCTGCCAGAATACAATAATTATGCAGATTGCAACTATTCTCATGTAAGATGAATTTGGATCCAACCATCTCACATGAGTCCAACTGAAAGTATCAAAATAGAACAATTAAAAGTGATATATAATGAATACATATATACTGGTTACTGATGCAAATATCAGAGTTCAGGCCTAAAATATAAAAATAAGAAGATGTGGTATGATTGCCAATGAGACAACTCTCCACTAGCAACCAAATGACATAGAAGTTAACAACTATAGGTCACCGTATGGCCTTTATCCATTTTCAATTTTAGCATGTATCAAATTATTTCAATAAAATGTACAACTTTTATTCCTTCTAAGATTTATACAATGATTTTTATGTGTAGACTGTACTAGTTGTAATTCTATAGAAAACAACTACAGAAAAGGGCATATCAATCTTAAATTAAACAAGAATGCCAATGTTGTTCTACTACGCACGTCAAGCTGTCCAAATATGAAGTCATTCTGTTCATTAGAACTTGAGAAAAGTGTGATGGAAATATTTGTTGCACAATTTGAAAAGTTTAATGCAATATAGCCCTTACTTCTAATCTAATTCTTTATTTAGTTAAAGAGGATTGCCAACAGCCAAAGGCTACATCTTGGTCTCCTCAACATAACTATATGCAGCCCTAGATTAGGGTGTAATAATTTTCTTATTTAAAAATTATCAAAAAAGGACAAAATTAAGGACTTGTGGGCTTAAAAAATGTTTGCAGAGATTAGAAAAGTCCACAGAATATTATTCAAGGAAATCTGTGCTTATTTGATTACAGTTTTCACAATTTAAAAGGCCCTTTTTGAAAAACTTTAAGCCTGTTACTTACTTAAAAGTTATATATCTTTCATGCATAACCAGAGATTAGAATATACATTTATATATCAATACATTGGCTCTAAATTATTAAGGGCCTTCAATTATTGGGAGGTTCACTTCTAGTTTAATGGAATTTTTTGGAAATGATGTTCACATATAACTCTCTGAACCATCTAACTACTGTGGATTCATTATTATTTGTTGGGTACCAATTTTCATGGTTTTCGTGGGTACAGGGGAACCACGAATTTAAATGTTCAACGAATTACAAATTTTCTATCAGGTTGTATGCAGACTTTGGCAAAACCATGCATGAAAATCACATATCCACAAAAAGGCAAGTTTTCCGCAATCCACGAAAACTAGTACCCACAAAAATAAATGAATCCACAGTAAGTAGGTTTTTTTTAGTGTGTTTTACTTATACAACATATCCTGTAGAATGGCAAAGGGGGAAGTTTGCACTTATATACTCAACCATATATTTTATGCTTGTACCAAGACAGGCTGTTTGATCCTGGTGTTGTTTGTCTTCATTTGTATGTAAAAATAAGGAGATGTAGTATGATTGCCAATAAAATAACTATCCACAAGAGTTCAAATGATGTGGATTTAAGCAAATATAGGTCACCATACAGCCTTCAACAATGAGCAAAACCCATATCATACATTCAGCTATTAAAGACCCGAACATGACAACAAAGGAGAAACCAATGGTCTGATGTCTTTTTTTGGAGGTTATTGGTGGTTGTTGAGGTCTGTCCAGTATTTTGGTAATTCCTTTTATCATTTTAATGTATCACTTATTAATATAAAGTAGGTATAAGAAAATATTGTCCTAATCTTTACCTTGCTGGTGTGAACTGTAGCACTGCTCTTCTGATCTTTCCTGATGTAGAATGTATAGCTCTGAAAAATTGAAAAATCACATAGTATTATAAATCTATCAATTAGGACACATCGCATACCTTATAGAATATCATTTATAACGAGCTGAAATTGTGAGCTATTGCTCATGAATGATACCCTGCTAAAGTATTTGCTAAACAGGAAGTTGACGAGTGTTGGATGTAAAAAGGCACCACATAGTCTAGCATTTTCACATAAATCTTAAATTAATAGTTCCTGAGAAAATGTAACATATATACATAGTCAGTATACAAGAAGATTCAAAGACAGCAACACTAAGGCTATCACTAAGTTGCGGTACCTTTTATTGTGTCGACACAATAAAATATACTACAACTTAGTGTTGTTGTCTTTGAATCTTTTTGTATACTGACTATGGGATAGACATCCACCGCATACCACTAAGTATCCACTTTAGCTACCCTACCATACAACCACCATAGATAGGTGTTGGTTCACTTTTATCTTTCATAGTCATTATGTGTAAAAATATTCAAGTATTCAGTTAACAAAAAGTTAATGAGACACAAATCTAAAAATGTATTTCACAGCATACCATGCTCACATGAAGTTTGATACCAAATTTTAAATGTATTTCACAGCATACCATGCTCACATGAAGTTTGATACCAAATTTTAGGAAGCTTTGATTAAAAGTTCCTTTAAAAATGAGACTAACATTTAATGGGACAGACAGACATAAACCTTTGAAGTGAGTGGATAATTACAGAAACAGAATATAGCATTGAAATCAATTCAAATGTACAACAGTTTTCATTTGGCTTACTCTAATATCACTATCAACCAAGTACGTTCAAATCAAATTTTAAAATGAGGCAATTTGATTTTTAACACTGGTTTGAAAAGTTAATATCTGGAACGAAAAAATGATTAAACAACAATTTCCTACACCAATTTTAAGGTGATAAATCCTAACACTTACTTTATACTTTCCCAATGGTAGTTTCTCATTTCTAACTTTTTACAGATTTCCATGCCAATCCAGATTCCCAGACCATTACATATCAGCACGTCAAGGATTAAAGAATCCCACCAACATTCTGCAAAGTTTGGCAGTAGATGACAAAATACAATCTGAAATAACACAAAATATGATTATAACTAGTTTAACCCTGTCACATATTTAGGAACATGTCCAACGTTTTTTCTTTATGTTTTTGTCAATTAGAGAATTTCAAATGGTGTTAAATGCAGAGGATGGCAGATCCTTGAGAGTCTGATCAATTTAATCATAACTTCTATGGACTCAGGGCGATAAAAAGCTTAACTTATTGCATAGACACCTGCCTATGGTTGAAGACCATATGTTGACCTCTAGAATGTCTTTTGGTATAAGTGTCCTTGTGTTGCATTCTCACTGAAATGGTCCCCATCTCCTTTCATTTAGTACAAGCACAAAAGATTTTGTTTGTCTGATGAAACTGTGTTTATTTGGCCTTTTTAACTTTTTTTGATTCGAGTGTCACTGATGAGTCTTTTGAAGACGAAACACGCGTCTGGCGCAAATACAAAATTTCAATCCTGGTATCTATGATGAGTTTATTCATAAGCTTCGTTTTTGTTGACTAACAAAGCAATTCAATTGTGTGCATTCATGGCTACATTTAAACCTGAATGCTGAGTCAACATTTCAATTTTCAGAAATAAACCAAAATAAGACAAAGTACCACTACATAATTTTAGAAGAAAATCTTTCTGCCGTGTTATACTCCCATCTCCTAAAAATATAAGAGTTACCTCAGAAAATTCCCATAAGACACTAATTGTCCACAATATTCCATAATGTCTGATCAACAATGCTTTTAGCGTCCAACCTAAAAAATGTGCCACTGCAAATAGATCTAAGTGTGACCATATTCTTGCTACATCAATCTGGGAACAATTCACGGCATATTCCTGAAAGATAAAATGGTGTAATGTTTTTACAGAGCTGCATACAATGTACATGTACATAAGTATTTCTTATATTTTGTTGCAAATATGTTCACTCCAATGTTTAGTAACTCTCTTTACCTGAATTACAAGAGTTGCCTCCCTTGATAACAATAATTCTTAGCTGTACAATGATCAGTGTTAAATTTACTCATTTGTATGTTTTTGTGAAAATAAAAAGCTTCAATCTGCAAATAAATGTGTGTTAAAGTAGAATTAGCTAATGGTGTCAGAACGACTCGAATGACCCCACTCGCAAGAAAAGCTTGAAGCCATATTTTGGAGTGGAAATTTTCAAAGTCCAAAGCATGTAATTTTGGCACAAATCAGCGGAGCAGAGGCAGACTCACATACTGAAAATCATCTCACTTTGTGAAAGCATTTAGAAAAAAGTCTGTATAACTGTTCGTAGCTGAATGACGTAATGACAGAATGACAGACAAGGATAAAACTATATGGCCCCGACCTAAGCCAAAATGTAAGAGAAAAAAAATTAAATAAAAATGTTACCATAATACCTCAAAGCTTTAAAAACAAGAATGTGTCCATAGTACACTGATGCCCCACTCGCACTATCATTTTCTATGTTCAGTGGACCTTGAAATTGGGGGAAAAATTCTAATTTGGCATTAAAATTAGAAGGATCATATCATAGGGAAAATGTGTACTAAGTTTTATTTGATTGGACTTCAACTTCATCAAAAACTACCTTGACCAAAAACTTTAACCTGAAGCGGGACAGACGGACGAACAGATGAATGGACGGACAAACGAACGCAGACCGAAAAACATAATGCCCCTAGGTGGGACATAAAAATCTATTGATGTGAATAAATCATAAAGTGTATGATTGGAAATCATTGCAATTCTTTATACACAGATTTCCTAACTGAATATATCTGTCACATTACTCTGCTTGCATAAAGAATTAAAATTGAGAATGGAAATGGGGAATGTGTCAAAGAGACAACAACCGGACCATAGAGCAGACAACAGCAGAAGACCACCAATGGGTCTTCAATGCAGCGAGAAACTCCTGCACCCGGAGGCGTCCTTCAGCTGGCCCCTAAACAAATATATATACTAGTTCAGTGATAATGGACGTCATACTAAACTCCAAATTATACACAAGAAACTAAAATTAAAAATGATACAAGACTAACAAAGGCCAGAGGCTCCTGACTTGGGACAGGCACAAAAATGCCGCGGGGTTAAACATGTTTTTTGAGATCTCAACCCTCCCCCTATACCTCTAGCCAATGTAGAAAAAACAAACGCACAACAGTACACACAGTAAAACTCAGTTCAAGAGAAGTCCCATTACCCATTCAATGTGACTTACCATCATATTTTGACTTACAATGAGTACCAAGTAAGGTGTCACTAGTGAAGCAGGAAATGCTCACCCTTCTGGAGCCTCTGAGTGCATCCTTGTTTTTGGATGGGTTTGTGTTGGGACTTGTCCGTCTTGAATAACCTTGTATGGTGTCCTTTAAATATCTAAGTTTTGTTTAGAATTATTTGTATTGTAGGAAGGATGTATCCTTGACTTTAAATATATACAGCCAAACCTGACCATTCTGACCAAAAATTGAAGTTCCATTTTTTCCCCTTCAAAGTCTTTGTAAAAATACTCCCTGTAAACCTGACCCTGTGTATTCTGAATTTCAGTCTAGTTATGCAGTCCCAATACTCCTAATTACATTAATTATTACCTGTCAAAACCGGTTTGTTTAATTAATTAAACATTATAACAGTATTGATCGATATGCAATCAAAACATAATTGTTTACACAAGATGGTTTTCAGGATTATCAATTAGTGTTAATGTGAGACATAATGGTGTCGGTGTCCTGTGAAAAAGTGTCCACCTGGACAGTTTTTAACACAATTAAAGTAATAAATAATGTTAATTGCCATAAAATTTTGTCTCTTACGTGGACAGAATTTTACAGCAACAGTTATGAAATAGTGTCCTCTCACAATACAATTATCGTAGCAGTTGTTATTAAATTAGTTCATCTAAGTTAAGCATGTTAAGTAAAACAAATGTCATCAAAATATTTTAATATACCCCGGTAATTGAATTTTAATTAATTAAGAAAGGTGTATTAGAAATAGATGAATCTAAACATGAAAATGGATGGCAGTGAATACCGACAAATTTACAACTGTCTGAGTTCAAAGAAATACACAGAAAAGATCAATGAAAATGTAAGGCGAACACTTTGAAGAAAATGTCAAAATTATAAAAACAAATTGGAGGAATTTTATAGTGTCCTCCCACAGGGCAATATTTCATAGCAGTTGTCCTCCAAGGGAAATAATACAAAGGTCATCAAAATGTTTTATTATACTTGAATTTTAATTAATTAAGAAACATGTATTAGAAATACTGTTTAAGGACCAAATTTAATGGTAAAAAACTTTATTATATAAACACTATTGAGTTTTAATTAAAATAGAAATCAAAGAAGCGCCAAATATATCTCGAATATAAATTATGTTGTAACTTTATTAAAGTTTTTAAATTGGGGAGTAGGAAATTTTCATCGTGTTTTCAAAATGCTGGATTCCCTGTTGTGAACCCCAAAAACCAATGACCCTGATATGTAGAAGACCCGGATGACGAAATTCCATTGTCGAGTTTATGGGTATTATACATTGTAATGATGATGTAATCATGATGAAATTTCATGTGATAAAATTCTTGCTTTTTAATCAGCTATACCAACGTAGGAAACGAAAGATGGAAGTAAAAGAAACTCTCTTTGTACAGTTCTAACAACACGAGGATTCTGGTGCAAATGAAAACAATGAATTCAAAGTGAAAGTGAAACTGATGATTCAGAGACTGATGCTACTGAGGTTGATTTGACATACGTGAATATGTAAAAAAAAAGTTAAAATATAATTTTTTGACTTCAGGGAACAATCAATTTGTGAAATTTCTAAAGCCAATGAATACGAAGACTCAATACAGCAATCATGCTTAGTTAAATGGTGAAAAGGAAAAAAACACTTGTAATGTTCATGTCAATATATTTTCACATAATTAATGACATATAACATTCAATGAATAGATTATTACAGTATTTGTATTTACTTTTAGCTTACAATTTACAATGAGACAGAACTTGTACATGCAAAATATCTGACGTCACAAGTCAATAATGTCCTGTCAAAACAGAAACCTGAATAAACCAACCCACTGTTCAAACCAGCCCTTTTTCATTATCCCATAGCCGGCCGGTTTATACAGTTTTTACTATATATATATATAAAAATTCAAGAGTCTATCCTAAATTGAGGTAAATTATATGGCCTTCCAAATACTGTTTCGATTCCTAACATCACTGAAGAGACATTAATTGTTGAAATCTGGATATGTGTACAAATTTTTGCACCTCATGTTTGCAGTATACCATCTTTTCCGCAAGTTTATTGTTTTCTGTTTGGTATTAAATTAATAATAAAGATCCATTTTGTTACATCTTGTGATCCGTTTATTTGGCAATCGTCAATGGCAGTCAGCAGGGTTTAAGAACATCCGTTGTTCGACCTGTTAGTCAAATGCGTTTTATTTAAATATACTTTTCACTTTTTTGGTCTTTTGGAAAATGTTGTTTGTGCTGTATTTAGACCCCTCTACCAAGAAATTTGTTTTGCATGCACACGTATAAAAATTGCGGTTTTTATCCAACACAATCATAGGTTTGAACGTTGTTTTCAATTTAGACTTATATATATATATACATAAATTATATATAATTATACAGATTTTACATCATAATCATACTGATGAAGGATATCTGTTATCCGAAATATTTATAGATAATTTCATTTAATGTTTCCTTTTTTTTAATATTGGTGTTTTTTCGTACACTTTTTAGGCGTTTATATAATTTATTTATTGTGTACAGGTATTGTTACTTGTAAGAAAGATCGTTGATTTGATTTGATTTTTGGTGTTTTAACGCCACTTATAAGCACCGCTTTTGGGCTATTTCGTGGTGGCCATTTTTTATTGGTGGAGGAAGCCGGAGTGCCCGGAGAAAACCACCGACCTTCGATAGGAAAATAGAAAGATCGTTGACTTATATCTAGACGTTTAATATATATAATATATATCATATATGCATCCATGTTTTAAATTTATTTTCATATCTACTAATTATATATATAAGCATGTACTCACCTTTTCTGATAGTCTAATACTTATATATTTAACAAGCTTTGACTCACTTTTTCTAAAACTCTAATACCAATATATTCAACCATCCTGGACTCAACTTTTCTGATAGTCCAACACCAATATATTTAACCATCCTGGACTCACCTTTTCTGATAGTCCCAATACCAATATATTTAACAAGTTTTGAAAGTCCAGCCTCTTTCAAGTCAGGATATACATGTATAAAAGCCATGACTCAACTTTTCTGAAAGTACAGCACCTTTTAAGTCAGGATATACAAACCTGGACTCACCTTTTCTGAAAGTCCAGCCCCTTTCAAGTCAGTATAGACAAAATAAAAATAAGAAGATGTGGTACAACACTCTACCAGAGGCCAAATGACACAGAAGTTAAAAACTATAGGTCACCATAGCCTGGACTCACCTTTTCTGATAGTCCAACCCCTTTCAAGTCAGGATACAACCATTCTATCATTTTCCTCACATCCTGACGGTTTTGGAACAGGAAAAAAACAAGTATATGGAAATACAGGACACTTAAACCTAAAATATACACAAGACATAATTGGTCCAAAACTTTACCTAAAATATACACAATACACAATTCAGTCAATTGGTCCAAAACTTATCCCTTGTTTTTTGACTTGCATAAGCAGGTACCACTAGTAGAACAGGAAATGCCTACCCTTTCAAAGCACCTGGGTAAAACTTGATTTCCAGGTTCATGTTTCTCAATCTTTAGGTTTCTTTCAGTGCAATATTTTTTGTTTGCTTTGTTTTTGTCTTTTCGTCATTTTTTTATTTACGGTTTATATGCATGGTGTTGTCTGTTTTTATTAGACTTCCAATTTTTTTATTTCCCCTTTGGTTTCAAGTTTTTTACAGAAAGGAAGATAAAATATTCACAATTGCTAAAACCTTTGGGTAATTTTGGTATCAAAAGAAATTTGACCTACTACAGAACTCCTACTGAAAGTTCCTTTTCAATAATGAAAAAAAATTGGAGAATGTGTCCATGGGACACAGATGCCGCCCCCGCTTGCATATAATGTTATAAAAGGAAATAACTCAAGAACAGTAAAAGTGACGCCACCCTAATTTAAACTTGATCTCTGTTTTGTGGTAATAATTATTGGGTATAGTTTTCATAACATTTAGTTGAGGCAAACTTAAGTTAGAGAAAGGAAACGAAAAACTAAGCAACTTTCCATTTGTAAAGGGCATAACTCTACAACAATAAAAGTGATGCCACCCAAATTCAAACTTGATCCATTTTTTGTGGTACATGTAATAAGCATTGTGTATAGGTTTCATAACATTTGGTTGAGGCAAACTAAAGTTAGAGAACGGAAACCAATTTTGGGACGTACAGACATACGGTAAAACTTAATGCCCCTTCCATTGCAGCAGGGGCATAAACATTATATGAATTGAAATAAAAATCTATGTACTTAAATCCTCCTGGGAACCAGTTTGCTCTCATATGCAATTAAAGGGGTAAGTTCAATTTTTCAGCACAAGCCAGGATAAGGTATTTTTTGACAAAAAATGAATTACAAGTCACTTTATCTATACTTGAGACAAGAAAGCTATGAGTGTTTGAAATTGCAGAATTTAACATAAAAAGCAACGGTGACACTATGAATTAGTTGTTTTATTCCTATTACAGAAATCTGTGGCTGGTTATATAGATTTATTACATTGGTTGCAATGAATTACATTGATTTCCCAGTGAAATAAAAACCGATAATTTCACATGTGAAATAAACGTGGTTATTTCACTCCTCTGACGTCATACAACAATAGGCGTTGTCAAGACGTCGATAACGTCGGATCAAAACAAATTCTGAATGTGTAGAAAAAGATATAGTTCCTTACGTTTTCTACTTTAATTTTATAAAAAAGCCATTTGGCAATGTATTAAAAGGAATAACTAATCAAAGAATTCAAATATCGAAAAATATTCAACTCGTGACCGAACAACACTGATAATTAACTCATGCGCTACGCGCATTCGTGAATTAATGTGTCGTTCGGTCACTCATTGAATATTTTTCTCTATTTGAATTCTTCAATTAGTTATTCTATAAATAATTAACAACAAGCAAAACAATGAACATTTATTCCATTCTCATTCTGGTGTACAGAAAAAGACACAAGAGATCTGACGCAAGAGCCTGCTTCCACATTTTAGCGACAATGCAATTATAATAAATAAATCATTTTTTGCACATCTTCCAATGAAGCACAGCAGCTGTAAAAATAATTTTGCAAAAAAAGTCTGGTATGGGTCATGAACAGTGATAAGTGGAAAGCCCCTGATGGTACAAGATATTCTGACCTAATAATTATCATATTTTCTTTCAGATAAAATACATTTGTTGTCAAGCAATGATTCACATGTATGTTTTTGGTGTTTTTCTTTAAAATTTCAAATTATGAATTCATTTAATTTTTTCATTTTCTTCAAAATTTTTACTATTTTTTTGCATTCTTGGGTGACAATTGAGTATTTCTTCACAGAAAAATATGATTTATTACCAATTTTCAATTTTCCAATACATTCAATAGCTCGTCAATAGCATTCAATCAACGTAATGATCCACTGGGACAAAATAGTTTCCTTTTGAAATTAATGATTTTAATAGTATCAAAACCGAATCCATAGAGAGCATGCTACCAATATAGATTATCTTGAAGTTACAATCATTCTGTAACCATAAACATATTGACTAATATTTGAAGGATAAATTTTCCCTCAAAAATTTGTGCAAAATACAGAAAAATCCATAATGATAATCAGAGTTGTTTACTTTCTGCATTTAGGCCATGGAAAAGTGAAAGCATGATTTGCAGCCAAATTAGCCCTAAAATCAAATTAGTATCTCATCAATCTTCACGCTAAGCCAGATGCCAAGGCTTGTAAAATTACAACTAGGGCCAAAATAATCTATTGTACATAACCAGGTCGTTAGTTTTCTCATTTGAATTGTTTTACATTTGTCATTTCAGGGCCCTTTATAGCTTGCTATGTGGTATGGGTTTTGCCCATTGTTACACACTGTACAGTGGAGAGTGTCTCATTTTAAATCATACCATGATCTTCTTATTTTTATATACAAAATTTTCTAAAAATGAGCGTCAGGACTATGGTTGTTAAAGTTTATCACTGGCTGTCAAATTCTCAAAATTTTCAGACTCGAATGTTGAAAATATGTTTTTAAACACAAAATTTATTTGAAAATGTTAAAAAAGACCAAGAAAATAAATGCTTAAAGAATTTCTTTTTAAAGTTTATACAGCCATGAAATATTAGCATTTATATTAACAAGTGCACATCCTCAATAAGTATTTAAAATAAAATTGAGCATATGCATGTAAACAGGGAATGTCAAGAGACAACAACCCGACCAAAGAGCAGAAAACAGAAACCTACACTTAAAATAGCAAGTGTCAAGGGAGTTGTTTTTGTGAAGATTAGTTTACATGACTTTTTCAAGTAGATAAATAATGTAAATATAAATATGGATATAAATTTTCAGATATATATCAAACTTGAATCTTCTCTTATATGAATGCATCAACAAAGATTGAAATTGCTCCTAATAAAAGAGCTAATAACATTATTCATACAAATAAGGGCTATTCCATTAAAATGTATGTGGGAGGGTAGGAAGGGATTTTCAAAATATCCCTACAACCAAGAACCATTTTTTAGATAATTTTGCATAACGGTAATAGACGCATACTGAATAAAATGCTCCGCTGGGGCGCAGCTTGATACGACCGCAGAGGTCGAACCCTGAACAGTTGGGGCAAGTATGGACACAACATTCAAGCTTGGATTGTAATTAAATATTTGACACAGCATAGGTTTCTGACACAGAATGAATGTGGTCTAAGAACTTAAATATTTTTAATTTACCTATTCAAACCATATCATTATTATTTGCTTTTATATATAAATCAGAAATAACCAATTTAAAATGGAAAATTTAAAGAAAAAAAAGGAAAAAAAAATCCCCCCCCCCAATTTTTTGAACCCCCTTATGATTCATCACCCCCAAACTCAATCCCAGCCTTCCCTTTGTGGTATGGTACCTTACAGTACAATTTCAGAGAGATCCATACACTTGAACACAAGTTATTGTCTGGAAACTAGAAAAATGCTTGTTTTTTGTCCCCTTTTTGGCCCCAAATTCCTAAACGTTTTAGGCAATTACCCCAAAACTCAATTCCAGCTTTCCCTTTGTGATATAGAACCTTGTAGTACAATTTCATAAAGATCCATACACTTAAAACACACAAGTTATTGTCATGAAACTAGAAAAATGCTTGTTTTTTGTCCCTTTTTGGCCCCTAATTCCTAAAATTTGGAGGCAATTACCCCCAAAATCAATCCCAACATTCCATTTGTGACATGGAACCTTGTGGTACAATGTCAGAGAGATGCATACACTTACACACAAGTTATTGTCATGAAACTAGAAAAATGCTTGTTTTTTTACCCTTTTTGGCCCCTAATTCCTAAAATTTGGAGGCAATTACCCCCAAAATCAATCCCAGCATTCCCTTTGTGATATGGAACCTTGTGGTACAATGTCAGAGAGATCCATACACTAACACACAAGTTATGTCTGGAAGTTACAAAAATGCTTATTTTTGGCCCCTAATTCCTTAACTGTTGGTACCATAACCCCCAAAATCAATCCCCACCTTCCTTTTGAGGTATTGAACCTTATGGTAAAATTTCATAGAGATCCATTTACTTAAACTAAAGTTATAGTGCGAAAACCAATGTGTCTTCGGACGACGACGACGACGACACCAACGTCATACCAATATACGACCGCAAAATTTTTTTGCGGCCGTATAAAAAAGACCCATGACCCACATTCAATAATTAAACTTCCCTTCCTACCCTCCCACATACATTTCAATGGAATAGCCCTGAAGTATGACTATGAGCATAGTTGTTTGACAGTTCTTGCATTGTAATTTACTTGTTTGATAGTTCTTACATTGTAATTTACTTGTTTGACAGTTCTTACATTGTAATTTTCTTGTTTTACAGTTCTTACTGTGTAATTTACTTCTTTTACAGTTCTTACATTGTAATTTACTTACCAAAGACAATCCTCCATAGGGCTGGGTGTGGCCTGGTAAAAGGACCTATAATACATTGGAAATGTTAACTTTAGTTTTATGCAACATAACCTTTCACCACTTTGAACTAAATCCATTTTCTTATGTTTTATTTCTTTCTGAACCAAAAATTTTCACACAATTAAGTGTCAGTCTTTGTAAGAATCATGCAATTTCGAAAAATTTCAAAACATGACCGAAAAAACCCACCGACCTAACTATCCTATTTTGAAGTTACCTTCTTCCTGAGTTAGAAATGGTAGGTCTTTTATTTCTGTGTGTCTGGTAATTCAATAAATCTCTAGATAACATTTGGTTAGAATGATAGCAAATTACAGAGTTAGCTCCCCACAATTGATAATTTCTAGTGCATTTCAACCAAATTATATCTTGAGTTACCAGAACAGGAAAAGGAAATGAATGTTATATTCGTGCACCATTATACATTCTGAACTTAAACACATGTAATCTTTAGTGGGTTTTTGTTTGTCATGATTCTTAGACAGATTGGCACTTAATGTACATTATTTATCATATAACGACTTTATCTTTTTCCACTGGTTATATGTATATATACTGTGACAGTGAGAGTACATTCATTAATATCATGTATGACATTTGCCCCCAGTCCATGTGAGATTCCCAACCACAGACAAAGTCAGCTCTTAGGACTTTAGAACTGTTGTAAGCTTAAATAAGGACAATAATCCAGCCTCTGATCAGCCTTCCTGCCAACACTTGAAGTGTTATGACTTATTTCTGTCACACATCAAGGTTGGATACACCTGAAGAATACAGCGGCCAATTATAAAAGAACAGAGTTCCAATGTCCCCCGCGCTGCACATATTTTATCTATCCAAGGCAAAAGGGCAATAACTAAAAAAACACTTTTTTTTGTTCTTTCAAACTTTTTATAAATATCTAAGAGAAATGAAGGCTTCAGAGCAAATTATGCAATGCAATTTCCGATATAATCAATATTTCCAAGAAGCATAACTCATTAAAAATATTTGATCAGCACTTATTTTCAAGAGTGTCAAAGACATTGCTGATATAAACCTATGACATAAGTTTTATAAAAATTCTGGCAAGAATTGTAAACATGAGAGCACTAACAATGCAATTTTCCATATAATCAATATTTCCAAGGGACATAACTCTTTTAAAAATAATTGATCGGCACTGATTTTTGAACTCTTCAAGTACATTGATGTTATAAACTTATAATATAAATTTCATAAAAATCTGGCAAGAATTGTATACATTAAAGCGCTCATAAGGCAATTTTCCACATAATTAATATTTCAAAGGGGCATAACTCTTTACATATGAGAGTGCTAACGATGCAATTTCCAAGGGGCATAACTCTTTTAAAAATGATTGATCAGCACTGATTTTTGAACTCGTCAAGAACATTGATGATATAAACCTATGATATAAGTTTCATAAAAATATGGCAAGAATTGAACACATGAGAGCTCTAACGATGCAATTTCCATACAATTAATGTTTCCAAGGGGTATAAGTTATAACTCTTTTAAAAATAAATGATCGGCACTGATTTTCTAACTCATCCAAGACATTGCTAATATAGACCTATGATATAAGTTTCATAAAATTCTGGCTGGAATTGTACACATGAGAGCGCTAACAATGCAATATTCCATAAAATTAATGTTTCAAAGGGGTATAAGTCTTTTAAAATAAAATTGGTCAGCACTGATTTTCAAACTCGTCCAAGACATTGCTGATATAAACCTATGATATACGTTTCATAAAAATCTGGCAAGAATTATACACGCTAAGCGCTAACAAGATTGGACGGACGGCGGTTTTACCATGTCCCCAGCAACGTGTTGCGAGGGTGACAATAATTCAGGTTTAGGCAAATTAACAACAGTTTATTATGAAAGTATTCAATTACAATTAAGTAAATACAGATAATCATAACTGAGACCAACATTCATCTGTTGATATTTGCAAACTTCCTAAAATTTTAAACATTTCCTGCATCTCTTATAACATGTATAATACATAAAATAATCAATGTTGCATGCATAACATACTATGCATGGTTTTTTATGGAGACATATGTGCTGAAATGTCATTCAGAATGGCTGTTTCAACCTTTTCAGTTTAGGAGAATGTAAAATTTCTAGAGATAGGTCTTGCAAGAAAGTTGGCAGGTCTGTTGATTTGAACCAGTTTTCTTGTATTTTGTGGATAATTGAGCCCAGGGATTTTAGTACCCAACAAAATGAAAATTTCCATTGATTTGATGTTTATACACACAACTAAAAAGTACAAATTCCAAACATATAATCATGAACCAAAGTTTTGTCCACATATCAGCATATATTTATACCAAACAGGTAGAAATCCACAGTTTAAACTTTTTCATAGCGTTCTAAAAAGAAGGTCCACAGGAGTTTTATATTTGCATAAACATTTTGCATGATGGTCTTATACATACATACAAAAATATAAGATCTGTTTTCTGCAATCTGAATTTCTTAAAAGAGAGAACTTTTTTTTACTGAACAGCTTCAAAATGTTACTGTATATAATTTTTGCAAGATTTTATGCACATTCGCAAATAGAGTGTGGTTAACCTCTAAGCTGAAGACTTAAACTCTGACTATGTTTTTTTGCATACTTTTGTGTCGTGTTGACCTTGCAAGTTCTAACTATTTTTTTTTTTATAGTTCTATTTTAGGAAGCAATGTGCATGTTTATACTAGGTTTATCATTTCATAAATTATTCAACTCAGTAAAAGATCACACTAAGATAATTTGTATCAGATAACAAATGTTGGTGTATTCTTCCTGGTTCATTTTCAGACTGCACACATTTTTTTTTCTAGGAATTGCAATTTCTTGAAAACTCAACATCTATCATTGTTAATCAGGATTTGTTATTGTCCTATTCATATTAATTGTAATATAATTTAATTTTGGATTTAACACGTCTTCTGATTGGCTGAAAGTGTTTTGTCTATCAGCTCATAGACATAATTTTGTCATGTGACCGTGACGTCACCAACGTTTTTTTCATAATTACACCTATATAAGAATGCCGGATTTTGATTGGTTGTTAGCCAGTGTATTTTTCGCATATTCTAACATTTTTCCTGATTTCAAACGAATTTGCCTGTTTTGTCACCACTGCTGGTGAATTTGCCTCAAATTCCCCTCTCTGCCGTGGTATTTGCCATTTTGGATATTCCTTTTTTACCCTCGCGAGCCTGTTCCCGCCAAAATTATTCAGAACCTTTCTCACTTTATCCCGACAACATGGTTAAGCACTATTGATTGAGTTAAACCGGAAACTGTCAGAAATATACATATACAAATGAACGATTTAATGATTGAATAACAATGACGTTTACACATATAGATACCATGACGTTACAAAAAGACAACACTAACGCATATAAGTACATGTATAATTCCCGTGGTACTACGATTTCCCTTCACATGTACAGACAGTTTCAATCAAAATCTATTCGGTGTAATTAAACAGATATATCATGTTATGGAGGGGTATTTGCGAAAAATACCAGTCTTGGGACAAAATTTCCCTCGCCTAGCAGCTTGGGAAATTTCACCGTCCCTTGACTGGTATTTTTCGCAAATACCCCTCCATAACATGATATATCTGTTCAAAATTTACTCCTTTAAAATGGAATTTAGAATTAAATTATAAGGAATGACTGTAATATTTTTTCTGTCTATTCGAAATAACCTAAAAAATGTGGTGCACACTTTTAAATAACCCGCTATGCGGGTTATTCAGAGTGCACCACATTTTTGATGTTATATCTTCATAGACAGAAAAAATATTACAGTCATTCCTTAAATGTACTGAAAATTCAGAAATTATTGCAAGGTTTTTATTAATGCAAATAATGCGATGAGTATCGCAATAATAAGAACTCGCATTCTGATAACTGAAACATAGATTGGTCCTCAATGCTCTTCAACTTCGTACTTTATTTGGCCTTTTTAACTTTTTTTGATTCGAGCATCACTGATGAGTCTTTTGTAAACGAAACATGCCTCTGGTGCAAATACAAAATTTCAATCCTGGTATCTATGATGAGTTTATATAGATCTGTATGTAGATATTTTTGAAATCGCAATAATTAAACTGGCATTTTTGTCCATTATTGAAAAATCACAATAATAAATGCATGCAATAATTTCTGAATTTACAGTATACATGTATACAAGAAACTTATATGATAATTTCACTTACCATTAGGGAAAGCTAACAGACTAATCACCAAGAAAAAGAATACCACACAACAAAATCCATGCCATAAATTATCTTCTGGTCCAGAATCATTTCTGTAAAAAAAAAATTTTACATGGTAAAATGAACTGTTTTAACTCATCCTGCCCCCATTTTACCTGAATTGGCCTGAATCATATATACATGCTATCCTTTTCTTGATTCATCAATACAAAAACATATTAATAGAGGAAAACTTTACTGTAATCATCTTTTTATAAAATAAAATAAGGACAAAGATAATCAATGGTTCAATAAGGAAATAACATTGATTCAGAAGATATCTAGTTTTTTAAATGTATTTGCTCCAATAAACATTCAGCCTTCAATTTCTTACTGTATCCAACAGTATTTATCTGGACTTTCTCATACAAGTCACATGTGACTCTGAAGATTATCCTTATACCATATGTTCGACCCAGGGCACATTTTTGCACACATATATATATATATATTATGCACATTTTTTTAATTATAACACATGAAAATTTAGTAACTGTGTTATAATTTTCATGCATACATGTACATTTAGACCTAGTCTAAACAAATAAACTTTGTAACATTTTTTTTCCAAATTTGCACAGTAACATTATAGAGATAATATAAAGACATGTACTCATTACCATGATTACCACTGAAATGCAGTGCACAAATAGTAATTCCATTTACCACCCATTCTTACCGTGAACACTGGTGATTGTGTGTGTTTCACTAATAGATACATCTGTGTATATAAAAGGATATTATAGAAATAAAACATAGATGACACTCACTGGGTAGCATAGTCTTACCCCAAGAAAAGGTTGTCAACGTAGGCGACGCTACAACTCGTCATTATCTGCAAGTAGCCCACTAAATGTTTTTAAATCATCCCTTCTATATACCAGTAGTAAGCAAGAAAAGTTTGACATAAAAAAATTTCCTTGTACAATGAGTGTTGTAAAATTTCTAACTTATAATTAGCAAACAGGAAGTGGCTGCATGCACTAATTACAAATGGAAAACTTGCTTACACTTTACAATTCAGCATTATCTAGCTGGAGACCAAAGAAAAATCAGGCCCAGCATGTCAGTCTTGATTACTCTTTTACTAAGTAGGGTTTATATTCTATCATATTAACTGGATGTATTTAATCAGCCACTCGGCTGGATGTTAAACAGAAATTCAACATCATCATTATCATACTTGGAGTTGTCATATTTTCACAGTGCTTCACTGTTTTCTTTCTTACATGGGCAATATCCTAATTATGTCATTGATTCAAAGAAAACTGTCCTTGGTATAATTTAGCAGGGTTTAAGAATATTTGTTGTTCGACCTGTTAGTCAAATGCGTTTTGTTATACTTTTTCACTTTTTTGGTCTTTTGGAAAATGTTGTTTGTGCTGACCCCTCTAACAAGAAATTTGTTTTGCATGCACACGTATAAAAATTGCGGTTTTTATCCAACGCAATCATAAGTTTGAAGGTTGTTTTCAATTTAGACTTCTTGATATAATTTATATATTCACAAAACTTAAACTGATGGATCATACACACAGAGACCAGATGTGACCCAAACTGGGACGGAAATATAAACAACTGTCATGCATACATCAGGGAATTTTTCTCTTTAAAAATATATATTTATACATGAATAACAGAGGTACCTCGTTATAAGAATTGTGGGGGAGGGTGGGATCAATTACAAACTCATTCTAATCAGCTAAATTTTTGGTGCCCCCTGCAGCCCTGCTTCATCTTATGCAAGAACTGATGTCATACTAAGAACTACATCTACTCAAGACATGTTCATACATGTTTCCAGCAAAACTTTTTGAAATTTTCTAGAGTCTGTCAGTTTAATGTGAACTTTATCAACAGCTATTTGGAAAATTGTCAGATATTGAAATTAAAATTCCTCAAAAAAGTCATCCTTCCTTCAGGTGGCTTTAACTTAACCTTCACTGAGCTCCAATTCCAGGGCAATTTTGGTTTCAACACTATATATTTTTTAAAACAGCTCTTTTCAAATTCAAAATAGAATTGACCGCCTATAAAAAATAGCTTTTAGCAGATGGATGTACATGTAGCTTAGGTTGCAACTAAAATTTAAATCTTTTTAGTTTACATTTACAGGTATAAGGTAAAATTGAGGACATTAAACCTAATTAAAGATTATGAAGATTATACCTAATTTCCAAAAAGAAAACCACAAATCAAAAAAAATTAAATGCTGTTCTACACATCTGTACATTAACGTATCTCAGCTCTGGCTTTAAAAAGACATCTTATCTAAAGTTCATACTCATTCTATTTTGCATTGAAAACAAAATTTAACAAATAACTACAATCCATATCTTAATTGCTCAACAACTATAACTTTGCAGTTACATAACTATATACAGTGTGCAATAATAAGACCGTAATGTGTGGGAGTGCATTGATAAAATATTGATATGCATGCATGTATTAACATAAATCTACTAATATCTTTTATATTCAAGAATTTAAAACTATCCATTACAAATAGATTGGAAACAAAATATTGTGCTGTACATCTATCTACATAATCATGTATAAACGTGAAAGGGAAAAAAAACTAAACCGAAATATGTTTACCTGAAAGTTCCCATAACGCAAAACAGCAAGTAATTTCCATTCTCTGTATTGGACTTTGGCTAATTACATTACTTGGAAGTTAATACTAACGGATCTTTTTCCGATATTACAGTCAATTAGTTATAACTTATGGTGATTTTTTTCCCAATACATGTATTAAATTGATTCCAGTATCCTCTATGGATTAAAAGCCTTCAAATTTTTGGAAAGAAAGTAGTATGAAATTTCTTAAGACAATCATACAGTATGCAGTTACAGATTCAAATATTTGTGTATTTATATTGATCTGTGTTGGGATTCTTGTCAATATTTTATGGGAAGCAAGGTTTAACTGTATGAATAAATAACAAAAATTCCTAAAATTAAATTTCATTCTCATTCTTTAATAAAGGAAAAATCTAACCACTCCATTATGTAGGAATTTCAACTTTTTTAATGTTATAACCAAGAGTAGGAAAAATAGTCTGGTGTCAATGAAATGATTTTATTTAATGAAGGATATTGTTGTTAGGAAAACATTTTGTGGACATGTTAATAAGATAGAATCTTTTAAATGCATGAACTTTAAAAAATGAGTCTTCAAATTGTAGAATTAACTGACAATGTTTGCAATGGCTGAACAGCTCTATACAGTATACATCGTACTAGATGAGACTACATATATATAATGAGCAACTACAAAAACACATTTTACCAACACTGTCTTCAAGTCATCCATTAAATGAGTCTAATTAATAAAAAATGCATATATATATATAACTAATTAAATTACCATGATAATGTCTTTTAGTAAGCAAACAACAATCAATCAAGTCTTTAGCATCCGTTTAAAGAATCTAACGAAGCATTGATTAATGGAAAACATCATCATTAAACTGATTAGTGCTCATAGTAATTCCTTTAATCACTGAAAGAAACTGATTAAATACAGAAACAGCACAAAAAAAAAAAAAGAAACACAAACAAAAATGAAAAAACTCACAAAAAGTAACCATACTGGAATGGCCATTCACTTTCCAGCCTTAAAATCATCCATTTGATAAAAGATACTAAGCAGAGAAGAAAAGGGAAATAACTTTATTGTAAAAGCAATCAATGCCCCAATGGTTTACAACAACCATGAACATATAAGGAAGTCTTGATTAATTGTGTATTTATAATATATTGATTAACATTGAATAAAGATGTTACGATATGTATATAGTCTTCAATCTCATAGACATTTTTTGTGAATCTACCAGCTTTTATCACTAATGAACAGTTAAGTTGCTTAAAACAGAACTACACTACTAATAGTGCCATTAATCACTTCTATTCTTCAAATTAGCCATTCCTATCGAAGGTCAGTGTTTTTCTCCGGGCACTCAGGCTCCCTCCACCAATAAAAACTGGCCGCCACGAAATAGCCCAAAAGCGGTGCTCAAAAGTGGCGTAAAACACCAAAAATCAAAAAACCAAATCAAATTAGCCAAAAAATCAGTCTTGTTATGTACAGTGTTATATAAAGGACAACAAAATGAAACTCGCTAAAAAAACTTACAACCTCAAATGATGAATATTATTTTGTGCAGAACAAAATCAAACTATATACTACTGAACTGAAATACCACGGCCTTAATCAATCATTAAAAGTTCAACATAAATGAAACAATACAATTTCCATAGGCTTATTAGCCTACATGTAACAAAAGATACACAAATAATTAAACTACCATGGCCTAAATCCTTCCAGCAATGAAATCATCCATTTAATGTCTAATTACCAAATAAATCATTTGACATGGCCTTGTTACAAGCTGTCATAAAAATATCCTATTGTTCCCATAAAAATCAATTAAATGAAGGAAGAAAATACATTTGTGTAGATACTCCCTGAGGAAGATAATTATCTGGTCTTGTTTCATGTCTTGTCAATTCACACACAGTTGTCACAATAAGGAGAAAATCCTTGTTACATCTTACAAATTTATCCTAAGAATTGGAAAGGGGGGATTGGGCAAGGCAATGGACCTCTCACAATTAAATTGGAAGGGGAGGGGACGGAGTGTGTTACTACTCTTTGATTCCCAACCACCTAATAATCAGACAAAAAAATTTGCAAGGCATTGATCATTCAAATACGAAATAGTCTCATTAGAAATTGATTGGTTCCCTTCATATATATACAGATGTGGATTCAGACCAGGGCGTAACAAGTGCAAGCCCCCTAAACAAAGAAAATAAATGTAATTTATGAGTAAAATTACAGCTAATTTTTTGTCAAAATATGGTCCTTTAACTCCTAATTCTCAGGAGTCCCCCCCCCCTTTTGTCATCAAATCTTGGATCTTTGCCTTGTTAACACTTGTTATCTGACACTATATTGAATTAAAACTTTAATCATTTCTTAGCACCTTGAGCAAAATCCTTTAAAGTTTGAAAGAGCAAAATTGTTGGAGGTCTGACAAAGAGCAAA